GGACTTGGGTGAGTTTTTCGGTGTGTCCATGGTGAATACCAGGGCGCTAACATTTGACTTAGACCAGTGGCTGGACCGCTGGGCCGGAACCAACTTGGTGGACGCAATTGGGAGGGCTTTTCTGTCGATCCATACCTCACTGGAGTTGCTATGAGTCTCACCATCAAAGGCATGCAAGATGCTGGCGTGCAGGCGTGCGCAAAACACTTCATCGGCAATGAACAAGAGACTCAACGAACTAATTCCTGGCTGGAAAACGGCACCGAAATCGCAGCTATCTCTTCCAACATCGATGACCGTACCTTACATGAGCTGTATCTATGGCCATTTGCCGATTCAATTCGTGCGGGCGTTGCTACAGTTATGTGCAGTTATAACAGACTCAACCAGACCTACGCCTGTGAGAACTCTAACCTTCTCAACGGAATTTTGAAGGATGAACTCGCCTTCAAGGGATATGTACAGAGCGATTGGTATGCCACTCACTCCGGGCCGGAATCGATCAATGGTGGCTTGGACATGAACATGCCAGGACCAATCGGCCAAGACGAGACTTTCACGGGCGAAACCTACTGGGGACCCAACATCACGAAAATGATCAGCGATGGTTCTGTCACTGAGGACCGTCTTGACGAGATGATTCAACGTATCATGACACAGTACTATCTGTTTGGACAAGACAGCGCCGACTACCCAACTGTTGACCCATCCATCATCTTCACCATCGCAGCGCAATCGAATCTTCTTCACTTGATCCCATTTGGGCCTCCTCCGAGCCGCGATGTCAGACGTGATCACTCCAAGATTATTCGCAAACTTGGTGCCGAAGCCACCGTCTTGCTCAAGAACGTTAACGGTACCCTTCCATTGAAGCAACCTTTCAATATTGGCGTCTTTGGAAACGACGCGGCAGACCCTGCCGACGGGCTTGTATTTGGTGCTGGTTTTGAGATTGGCACACTCTCAATCGGCGGTGGTTCTGGGACGGGTCGACACACATACTTGGTCTCGCCTCTCGAAGCGATCAAGGCCCGCGCTCGTGAGAGCGGCGCGCGGGTGCAATACATTCTGAACAACAAGGTCCTTGCGGCAGGCGACTTCAGCAGCTTGTACCCTATCCCAGATGTTTGTCTCGTGTTTCTCAACACGTTTGCTTCTGAGGGCTACGATAGGACAGATATCGAGGCCGATTGGAACTCGACGCTGGTTGTTGAGAATGTCGCCCGGCGATGCCCCAACACAGTCGTCGTGACACACTCGGCTGGCATCAACAACTTGCCATGGGCGAATAACCCCAACGTTACGGCCATCCTCGCAGCCCATCTTCCAGGACAGGAATCTGGCAACTCCATCGTTGACGTTCTCTGGGGTAAGGTTAATCCTTCTGGGAAGCTGCCGTATTCCATCGCCGCAAACCCGAATGACACCAACATCCCGGTCGTCAATCTTACTGAGGCCGAGATATCCTCGCCCGAAGCATGGCAAGCCGACTTTACGGAGGGCCTACTCATTGATTATCGGCATCTAGACGCCAAAAGCATCGACCCACTTTACGAGTTCGGCTTCGGCTTGAGTTACACCACATTTGAGTTACACCCGTCGTTGAAGATCAAGCAACTTATTCAGAGCGTTTCTGCCGTACCGGACCCATCTAAACCTAATACCCCAGGTGGGAACCCGGAACTTTGGGAACCCATAATACGCCTTACCGCCCGTGTCACTAATACGGGGCATGTTGCTGGCTCGACGGTACCCCAGCTTTACGTGTCCTTGCCTCAAGACGCGGTCCCAGAAGGCACCCCCGTACAGGTTCTTCGAGGATTTGAAAAGTTTTTCTTGCAACCAAAGGAGTCTACAACTGTTGGTTTTGAACTTCTGCGCAGAGATCTCAGCTACTGGGATGTTGGGTCTCAGAGTTGGGTTGTCCCTGAAGGCCCCATTGCATTTAGAGTTGGGTTTAGTTCTCGTGATATAAAGGCTACAGCAAAGCATGTTGTTCGTTAATAATTGTTCGAGGTTCGGAAAGCTGGTTTCATTGCAGCTGTCGAAACAGGAGTACAGGAGTTGACACTTGTTTTATCTTACAATATTTCTCGTAATCAAACAATTTGCAATTCGGTCTCCTCAAAATCTGGTCCCGCACCTTCGCCGTCCATAAGGTCGTGAACGTAGCAGTCACCTATGATGCGCCACCTTCCGTCACCAGCTTCTCGAAGTGTAAAGACAGAGTCACATCCATGAAATAGGGTAACGGTATCCCCAGGTTGTGTTCCGTCAACACACCATCCAAATCTTCCTGCATCGGAACGGAAGAAGCGTCTGTTCAAGCTCCACTTTGCATTCGCTCCGATGACCAGCTCAAGATTCTCCTTCTGTTGCAGGTAGTATGAGTCGGCATCGCGTAAAGATAATCCGTGGTTGTCAATCTGGTCTGCCAGGAGCTGTTGAAGTATCCCCTCGGGTCCCTCCATGAGGGTCATTGTCTTCAAGTAGACATCAAATCCGGTGGCGCATCCAGCGCTCGGGCGCTTGTTCTCTCGAGTGCGGTTGTACATGAATGCTCTCCAGAGATTCTCCCACGTTCTTGGCGTGACTTTCTTATCCGGGAATGCAACGTCCACAACCCCGAGATGCCAAGCTTTCGCATCTTCCCTTGCTTTCTCGATGATTTTCATGTACCGGTATCGAGCATCCTTGGGAATTCTGGTTTCATGCTGCTTGGCTATTTCTTCAGAGGTGCCTTCTTGGCCTTGGGAGGCATCCGTTTCCCCGTCATCTCTTGAACGTCTGGACATTGACTTTGAGACCTTGTCCACTGGGTGCCAGGCGAAGAAGCTGGGTGGAGAGCGCTGAGGCTCAGCATCGAGAATCGGACCACCGTATTGTGACATTTCGAATTCGCCCCAATCACCGTCCTCATCGTCGGCCGGGTCCATTGGCCCAGCTTGCTTTGGGGGCGGTATCCGACGCTTCATCTCAATAGCAGCGACCTTGTCGAGAATTCTCCCTTTGATGCGAAGAATCGTGCCGCCTTCTTCAATGAGAAGCTCGGGGTTAGTGTTTCCAGCAGCTTTCATTTCTAAGCCTCTGATTCTGAGCGGCTCGGTCCACCCGGGGCATGTCCAGTCCGGCACCCATGAAGGCAAGTTCAATGTGGTGGGTTTGGGGGAGTCGACGCAGTGGGTTAAAATGTCCATATGTCCGGCCTGCAACTCCCTAACGGCAAAGTCTGTGAAGAGCTTCTCCGCTGATTGGCCGTAGTCGACCAAAAACTCGTCTTTCCGCTCCGTTAGACCCAGTACGCCGTAAATCTTATCGCTTGGTATGGTCGCGTTGAAGTCTCTCAGCTCCTCCATCAATCCCAGTAAGGGCATGGTCGAGAATGGCGTGGATTCGTCGATTCGCTCTTGCCTCAACTGCTCCATGACGGCAATTGTTTTGAGTGCTTTACATTCGACTATGGTGCTCTGGAGTTTGTACATCTGGATCGCGCGGACCACGCTTGATAGGAATGTCCATCCAAAGCTGAGACTTCCGAGGTGCACGGTGATGTCCTTGGAGTTCGCGACCTCTTGTATGATCCATGTACGTTTGAACTATGTAGCTGTCAGTTTGCCTGCCATGCTCTGCCCGTTCGGTGAAGATACACGTACCCACGCCCTGTTGAGCATTTCAGATAGCAAGCCCCAGTCTAGCCGCTCGGTGTTTGCTGTTTTCTCAAAAAGCCATTGAAACTGAGGGACAGTCATGTCTTTCTCAAACAGGCCCTTTTTGTACAGATTGTCAAACACATCTGAAATTGCCATCACGGTCCTAAAGGCATGAAAGTCCATTTCTGTCGATTCGCCAAGCCACACTCTTGTTCGCGACGCACCCCCATACACCTGGCCCATGATTTTGACGTGCTCGTTGCGCTCAGAAATGTCCTGCTGGTTGATACAGAGAGCATCAACCCAAATCCGCAAAGGGGGCCCGTCCTCCTCTCTCAGCCTCCTTAAAGCGCGAAACAGCTCGCCACCTATAACAAGAGTCACGCCGTCGCAGATGATGGATGCGTCCGGCATCTTGCCGCCCAAGCGAATGTAAGTTTCGCCCATGTACGGGTGGTCTACCAGGTCCTTGAATTTCAGGGTTCCCCCTTTCTCGACGAGCTGTTGGTCTTCGTCTTCGACGTAGACTGCCCACGGGAGTTCGTCATCGGGGCCGATGCCGGGGTCCCGATCAATGCCTTTGCTCCAGCAGTAGCTCAGTGCTTCGTATGGCTCATCGGGGGTTGCGATGTTGATGTGGGAGAGACTGCATATTATGTCGTCGGTGAACTTTCCGGGTTGGACAGTAAGAACACGGGTCTCATGTGGTAAACTGAGCTTACGATAGGGATAGGTCGCCATGGTAATGTTTGAAGTTATCGACGATGTACAGAAATGTAGTTGGAAGTGCAAAGATGACGCAAAGCCGAATTTCCAGTCATATGTGCATTATATCCCATTCAAACACAAGCAGGTTGAAGCTTGGGCTGCCTCTATGAACATGGGCTCCCGCAGGACTGCTGACTATGCCAGGCAGCAGCAAGGAGCAGACCCCTGCACGCGTCGCATCGTCTTCAATCAATTGGTGGAGGACCCTGGTCGTCTGTTAGGGCTGAGCGCTAGACACCAGTCGGTGTTACTTGGATGCTAGAATTGACGGCAAGTAAAAATAAGAAAGGGATTTCCGTTCAAAACCCTGATTTTCGATCTTCATGTAGGATAACCTAACATTGATCCGAGAAGCCACAACATGTTGTCATCTTGTCGGGAGAAAGTGCGCGAGTTTCCTGTTTCGGACTGTGGATCTGGAGGGGTTCCTCTACCCCAAGATGTTGGAGATCATGACAAACTATTATCGAAAAGTTGGGGTATATCAGAATTATAAGTACGCTGCAGGTGTAAACATCTTCGAATAGCTTGTCTGGCGTGTCAATTCCCTTCAGCTTCAAGGACAATCAATGCAATTTCAAGATGACTACCTCAGAAGGCCCAGGACTGCTTCATCAGCCAGTAAAAATGGCCTGTATTCAGTTTGCAAGTGGTATATCTGAACTTAACCCCCAAAATCAGGGGCGGAGAGCTGACCTGGACAGGATCGGATAAACCCCTCAACCTTCGGGAAGCTCGCCAATACGTGTTGGAAGCGTCATCCCACGGCGCCAAGATTGTAGTACTCCCAGAATGCTTTAACTCGCCCTACTCTACGACATCCTTCCCAGAATATGCCGAAGTCCTTCAACCGGCCCCGCCTCCGGAATCCTCATCCCCGAGCTTTTACGCACTGAGCAGTATGGCCAAAGATGCCGGCGTCTATCTCGTCGGCGGCAGCATACCAGAGTTGGAGCCCGACACACGCAAGATCTTCAACACCACGCTCGTGTTCTCGCCTCACGGAGAGCTCCTCGGAAAGCACCGCAAAGCCCATCTCTTTGACGTCGACTTTCCGGGCAAGATGACCTTTCGCGAGTCAGACACTCTCTCTCCGGGAAACGCCATAACCACAGTAGACCTTCCAGAATATGGTACGATCGGACTTGGGATCTGCTACGATATCCGGTTTGCGGAGTTTGCCACGGTTGCATCTCGCAAAGGAGCTTTTGCTTTGATTTTCCCCTCGGCATTCAATAGTACAACGGGACCTTTGCACTGGGAGCTTCTTGCCCGCGCAAGAGCCCTTGACAACCAACTGTATGTGGCTATGTGCTCGCAATCGTACGAGCCGGGGTCCGGATATCCGGCTTGGGGTCATAGCATGGTGGTCGATCCGAACGGGCAGATCATGGCGACTACGGATAGGGGGCCGGCGATTGTGTATGCGGATCTTGATGATATATCTATCGGTCAGGCGAGAAGACAGGTCCCGATTGGATTCCAGCGGAGATGGGATCTCTATCCCGACATCTCCAAGCTTGTATGATCTCCTTTCCGGCACACCAAATTGAACGGAGTCAAACTTCAGCATAGGATGAGTCGGCTTGACAGCTATGTCTATTTCTACAACAAATTCTAGAATGAGAATCCTTCTACCAACTCCTTCAACGACACCAACACCCCTTTATCCCAAGTCGTGACCTTGCCTTGCCACTTGTCCCCAGCACCGCCTCCCTTGACATCCTTGACAAGATCTTTGATGTTCGGCACCAAGGCCTCGACGCCAGCCTTCTGCCCTAAGACTACAAGCTGCCCGCCTTGTTTGTCCTCACCAGTAGCCACAACCACCAAGCCGCCAGACGCCGCCAATGCATCCTTGACATTGACCGTGACCACCTTGACAAAGTCGGCGCTTCCATCGCCACGATGCACCCAAACAGCCTTGCTCGCCTGCAGCTTCGTCTTCGCAGCCTCGGCTTCAAACTGCGCTATATCGACCAGGAGCTTCTTCTCTCTCTTCTTCAGTTCGGAGGCAGTTTCCTGCGTCCTTTTCACAGTTTGGATGACTTCCTGCGGTGCGCTGGGGCAGGACAGCAGTTTTGAGGCGGAGCTCATGGCGCTGATGGCCGCTGTGGCCAGATTGATGGCTCGGTCGCCTACAGAAAAGTACAGGCGGTAGTTCTTTCCGTGGACTGATTCGCCGTGATGGACAAGGATGAGTGAGATGTGTGATGTGGATGATAAGTGAGTGCCGCAACATCTGCGCATCACAGTTAGCGTGTATAAAAGTAATGAGTCAAATGGAAGACGCACGTATTGCGGTCAATGTCTCCGATGCGAATCACGCGAACAACACCCTTGTTCTGGTCGTAGTCCTCGGGCATCTTGTGCACTTTCGCATCGTCAGGGGTTTCAACCGAGATGGGCAGGCTGGACCGGATGATTTCTGTGCATCGAGCTTGGATGGCTTGCAACTCGGCATCTGTGGGCTTGCGTGGCAGGTCGACATAGTTCATCGCAACGCTCTTGCCCATCCCCCAGCCGAGAGTGTCGAGGTTCTCATGGGTGTTCATGACGGCTGAAAGGAGATGCTGGCCGGTGTGCTGCTGCATGTGGTCCCATCGTCTCTGGAAGTCGACTTCTTGACGAACGCGGTCGCCTGGAGACAAGGGCTGCGGAGAGTGATAGACACAGCGCAACCCGACTCTTTCTACAAATTCTATCGGGACAGGGGTCTCTGAGTCACCAGAGAGCAGAGTGATGGTGCCGTGATCTGAAGGTTGACCTCCACCTGCATTTGTCGTTTCATTAGCCTCAAGACACAATAATGCGACGGCAGACTGCAACCTTCTGGGAAAAGAACCGAGTCATCAAACTCAATCAACCACATCTCAGACTTGCCAACACCGTTGGATTCCTTCGACTTGTCTTTGCCTCCATTCTTCTTGGCAACCGGCGGCGGACGCTTCTCGCAAGAGATGACCTCTGCCTCTAACGTCTTCAAATATGAGTTCCCTTGACAAGCCAGGGCTCCGACCACTTGCGGCCTCTTGGTTGATTCAGTGACCGCCATTTGGGAGGGTCTTGCGGTGTTTCGTGATGAAGAAAAGTCGAAATGTTCCAGAACAATCTCACCAAGATTACTAGATAAGATACGTACACATCGCTATCGGCGCTCGGCATGACGAGATACCGACTTAGCCATTGTTACCTCACGTGACAGAGTTGGAGTTGTTCTCCAACAAATGGGAGCGAGTCATACTTCCAAGCAAGTCAGAATATGATCTCCAAGATGGCATTCAACTTCTTCAATCAAGCAATCATCACACATGACAAGTGTCTTGGACATAAACCCAATATTAACATTTAAGTAGCTTCTAATGACAAGACTGACACAGCGCGCGGCCTTTACGGCGCAGCATTAGACGCGCACGTCCACGGTTTCGTCAGCGACTCAGTCGCGATCGCCTCAATAGAGGCCCACAGGCCAAGCACGCAGATGAGGAAGCCCGTAAGGAACAACAAGACGTTTGCGGCGAACTTGCACGTCTGCTTGCCGTCCTTGAACCAGTTGCCGTAGTGCATCCACAGCCAGAAAATGCCGGGCAGGCCGTACGAGAACCACGAGGCGAAGAGCGCGCAGATGAGGCCCAGCAGCGAGTTGAAGACGGGGATGGACTCGGCGATGACCATGGAGAGGGCCCAGATGCACACGACAATGCCGATCCAGGCGATGGTCGAGATCTTGGTGCGGCGGATCATGTGCTTGGTGTTGCGGAACATGCGCGAGAAGATGTACTTGGCGGCGACGTGGCCGTAGATGACGCCGGCGATGACGATGGTCGGGATGGCGATGCCCCAGATGGCCTTGCGCATGGTCTTGGAGCCGGCGGCGGAGAGGGCGGGCGAGGGCACGTCCGGGCCGACGAAGACGTAGATAACGATGGCGGCGAGGAGGTACAGGGTCGTGTCGGCGATCTGGAGGAGGGCGAGGGCCTTGGGCCAGTCTTCGGGCTTCTTGAACTCGCCAATGACGGAGAAGAAGCAGGAGTGGGAGGCTGGGAGATGGTTTGTTAGCATACTGTCCGGTGTTTTGCGACGGAGACTGGGTAACTCCGGGTTGGTGGCTTACAGAAAGCGATGGCGATGTTAGTCACGGCGAGGAAAGCACCGGTGAAGCCGAGCTGGCGGGTGACTTCAATGCTTCCGGATCCGATGGGGCGCTCCGCGGCGACATCACCAAGAGTGATCAACATGGCCAGGGTGATGGAGACGCAGGCTGATTCCTGAAGTCAGCAAAAAAAGGTTCTTGCGCGGCACAGAATGCGACGGGAAATAGACTCACAAGCCATGGACATCCAACTGGTATACTTGAGCGTTCTCGGGAAGTTGAGGACGGCAAAGACGGCCAGACCGACAACGGCCCATACGATGGTGCAGGTGGACGAGTTGGTCAGGGTGTTCATGCAGATGGTCCAGGTCAACAAATGGCTGCCCATGACGAAAACCTGGAAAATGACCTGCGCCCAACCAAAGACCTCCTGGAACACGCGGCCCATGCCGATAGACTTGCCGATAACCTCAACAGCGTCGCCAAAGTTCTGCACGAAGGGATACTCCTTGCGAAATTCCGCCAAGACCAGACCGGAATACGTTGAGAGGAAGCTCATGACGAGGATGAGGATGATACCCGGCACGAGACCGACAGTCGCCAGAACGGAAGGCAGCGACAGAATACCGAGGGAGACGGTCTCAGCGATCAGGACGATGCCACCTTGCCTGCGGTCAAGAGTCAGTCGTGATGTTCAGATTTGCTGCAATTCGATCCAGATTTCGGCCTCAACATACCACCAGGTGAGGGTCTTGTAGTCGATGAGCTCACCATCCTCGCCGGCGAGCACACTGTTGTCCTCCGCCGGGGGCGCGTAGGCCGGCGCGGCGTCGTTTCCCACATCCTTCTTCGTCGTCTGTTCCATCTCGGGGTTGCTGCTGACTTCCGTCGCGTTACCCATGTTTGTGCTTTCTTGTTGTGAGAGTCTGGATAGCCCACTGGTTGGTATTAAGGTTTCGGGGAGTCTTGCCGGCCGTCCGGGTTGTTATTGACTGACACCTGTTCCCACGTCACAAAAGTCGAGTGATCCGTCGACTCTGTCTTGGCAAGAGGGAATAGATTCAAGAGGTGTGGTCAGAGGAAAGGGAAAAAGAAACCACGGACGTCTGGGGAAACCGCTATTAAGCCAAATAGGAACCAATTCCAACGGAAACCCTTTCGTATGACTCCCACCCCCGAATTCAGGACTGCAGATTCTTGATATAATCCACCATGCGCGCCGCGATCGGCCTTCCTCGCTGAAAAAGCAACGAGGCAAAATGTCATACGAGGCATCTGCCGAGGCGATCTCGGCGCGTCCGGTCCACGTTTTCTGGTCCTCACACGCGCCAAAGAGCGAGACTGAGGACCTTCACGGACGGGGGTGGGCGCGCGGGCGGGATGGGCGCTGCAAACGGCCCTTTGCGCCTGCACTGACTCGGTCCCGCATCTCCAGTCCGGCCCACTCGGCGTGGCGATTTGACGACCTGGACCCTCTGTCTGCCAGGACTGGAGCCTCATGTTCCAACGGAAGCCTTCCGCAACTTCTCTCGTGGAAACTGGGAGCTTGGTCAGCTTCATAAAGTGAGGCCATCATCAGGTTATTCACGAGTTGCTGCATCTGCGGTCTCGGACTTGGCTGCTCTACATGGCTTCATCAACAGTTGATGATTCTTGTTGAGTTCCTGTTGACTCAAAGCTAACATGAGCTACCCGGACCCCAACTTTTCCAAAAAGTCAATCGCCTGATCCAAAAGTCCCCCAAAAATGCCAATGCAGCATTGACCACTGCATTGACCATGAGAAAAAACTGTCAAATACGCCTCATAAAACTTTTCAGGTGCGCATTACGGTTGCAGGTCCACCGGTTGGCTAATGTTTACGCTATAATATCCACTTGGCACTACTTTTACTAATGTTGACGTCCCAGTTGGTTTTTGTGCCCCAATTTCCCCTTTCAAAATTTTCGGCCCTTTTTCCCCGCGTGGTTCCCGTCCCACCGTCATGCGCGTTGCGGTCCCGACCGCCGGTCCTGGGTTGGGCCAAAGTTGCGCACTGCCGGCGGTGCGGGTGATTATCTGGTTTCCCATCACATTCTGCTCGTTCTGCGCCGGCCGTCTTCTAGAACCTCACAGCCTTTCTCTGCAGATAAACTTTGGAGCCAACGCTTGGGGTGCAGACGCCCGGCGGGGAACGGTGATCGGCCGACGCAACGTTCCATGTTCGGCGTAGCATGCTATTCGTGTGCAATGTAGATACACGTGTCTGTACGGATAGAAAGTCGCGTGGTTTCTCGTAAAAGTGTTGCTGCCTTGTGAACCCCTATCCTGCTTGCCCCGGATCTCAGACGATCCCCGCAATCTAGCAGTAAGATGCGTGGCTGGGAAGGGATTTCCCCGTGATCGTTGACACTTGGGTCGTGCTCTGTCCCTTCCCTCTATTTTCCCTGCATCCGATAGATGGGGAAATTCCTCGCTATTACGAGAAAACTTTGGCACCCCGGGGAGGGTCAGCTGTGACAAGCTCGTAATTGCTCTCATCTTATGTAAATTTGCCATGTATGCCTGTATTGAGCTGCAAAAAGCTGACTTTTGTGCGATTACCATTTGGTGTTTGAGAAGCACAGTGAAATACAGAGACTCAAGAGCACCCACATTCTTTCCGCATAAGACCTTTTAGAATTCCTTTCCGGGCAAGACCTGATAGAAGTTGGTCATATGCAGGTACTCATGAGAAACACGGAGTTGCCCTCTCGTCCTGAGGGAAACCGCGGTCTCGGCTTTACATGAGGCTTTTCTTGTCTTTCATGTGAAGCGAGCGAAATATATTCAAGTAGGGAGGTTGCATGCAAAAAAGTCAAGTCGAGACCATTTGACATCGGTCACAAGCTTGAATCCTTCGCTTTCAGCACCTTGAATGTAACAGCTCTTTGGGCCGAGGCTCGTTCGGAGTTGCAGACCACGCGTCAACCCTTTGCGGCTCACAAAAACAAGATGACTTCGATTGTAAGTTATGACAACGAGCAATTTGTTGTCACTCAATTCTCCAGCCGCTGAATACTTCCACAGGACGATTCATGCATCGATGAGTACCTATATAACAGTATTTCGCGTGTTAATGATACACGTGCTGATAATGCCATGCAGTAGTTATTAACGATTCCCTGACATAAACACAGATATCGAGGAGTAAAGTGATAATGAGGTACCGACAGATAAAGAGTCTAGATGCCTCAGCAAAAGAGGGATATATCGTGTCATCTCCAAGCTCGAAAGCTGACACTTGAGATATCCTACCTCGTATGTAAACTTGCTTTCGCCAGCTAAACCTCCCAATCTCATAGAAAATGGGGCTTCTCAATCACAACACTCTACATTGTAGATAGCAGTAGCTTGGGTGTTAACAGAAGGCAATTACTGTCTATTTTGGAGGTGGCTGGAATTTCATCATCATTCAACGTAAGCCCTTTCAGTTGTCGATAATTGGTCTATGCACTGTGTAGCTAAGCCTTTGTGGTCCTCTAAACTCAGGGCAGTCTATAGCGTACAAAACAACTTTCACATTTCCCATATACTCCGATAAGAGCACACAAATACTACTGTTCCATATTCTAGACTTGTTGCCTTCCAGTCCTTGGCCTGGACATGTTGCGAGGCCTCTTAGCCTCATAAGTAGTTTCCAAAGCTAGTTCACGTTCACAGTTCACTTTAGCCGGTTAGACGAAACCAGCAACCCAGACATCCATAGACCTAACACCTTTCAGACCTCCTTGTACACCCTTCAAACTCGCCTCGCACGCATCCCGCGATGCAAGAACCACAGCCCGCTCCCTCTCATCGCTCACATGCTCCTCCACCTCCCTCTCGAAATCGGAACTAAGGCAAGCACCGACTTCCCACTGCCCGTCCAAGAGGCCTTCGCCACATTGCACCAGGGCCTCGGTCTCCAACTGCCATCCGGCAGTCAGCGCCAGCTCGGTCAGCCTCTTGGGCCCCAGCACCGTGCGGACGTTGGACTCGCTATCCTTTTTGCGACACTCCAACGCCGCCTGGGTGAGGGCAGCTAACACATGAGGCTGCGCAGAGGTGTCCGTCGCAACTAATGACCATTCCGCAAGGAGCAGACGCTTGCTGTGCTGCTTCAGGGCGCGAAAGGTAGTGACAATCACTGAGGGGGAAGCGAAATACCACAGGCAGTGGGCGAGTACTGTCGCGTCAAAAGTCTTGTTTTCACTGGTGGAAGAGAGGGAGGAGAGGTAGTCCAAGGGCGGTTGCTGGACCCAGGTAATCCGGCTACCTAGCGGCCCTTGAGAGATGTGATCCTGTGCTTGGCCCAGAGTGTATGGAGCGCCTGTAGGACACATCAGTCATCTGAATGATGAGGCAGAAGAGCAAGCTAAACGAAGGACCGACCGTAATCCAGCTCTGCCGGGTCGACCGCAACCACAGCCCCTTCCTCGCCCACGGCAGAGGCAATAACAGTCGTGCAGTCACCCTGGCCGCATCCTAGTTCCAGCACCCTGGAGCCGGCAGGAATGTTCCAGTGCTGCAGGAGTGCCAGGCGGTGAACGGTCTGGGAGTGCTGGATGTTGAAGTATTTGGCATCGTGTAGGGATACACGGGCGATGGAGGCGGCGTCGAGTTGGGTAGACATATTGAACGCGATGGATTTTGATCGTGAAACGGTTGAATTGAGGAAACTTGGGAAAGGTATGGATGCTGACCATCTTATAGTGACAGAATTGGGGGGTTGCCTCGTGGGTGCTTACATGAAGGAACACCCGATCCGTGCCGCAGCACGACATACATAAGCGTTGCCCTGCTACCCCGCCTTTGTACACCAATGTCATATTACCGCAGTCATTCACTTCCGTCGTCTTACCAACTCGAATCCAAAGCTTGGCAACATATCAATTTGCTTGAAGCTTATATGACATGCCACGCGCTGGCATCTCATCTCCACCACCAGACTCTCGGCCTCGCTGGGACAGGCAAACTCCACTGTCGTGCTATTGGGTTGGGCTGTAAGGTCCAGCACGCCAAGTAGCTCGCCACGAACGGGAAGAGTCGAGTACGACAATGTGTCGTAGTCGAACTCGTCCATGCTGGAAGCGACGGGGGCCAAGGTAGCCGAGGGCGCAATAACCTGCCAGACTTCAACTTCCGTTATGTCGCCTTTGGTTGTGAGGTCTTTCACACGCGCAGAGTCCTCAGGAGGCGGCTTCCAAGAGATTGCGCAGGCGTTGATGCCAGCGGAGGGTACGGGGAAGCGCATGATTGTCGAGTCCTTGCCTTCTGTTAGCTATTGGAGGGGAAGAGGGCGTTGACCAAACACGAAATGCGGACCTCGACAGTAATATAGACCTGAACCCCATCACCCCACACAGCATTCTTGAGCTTCCGGCTCACGCGTGCAATTCTATCCGGCCAGGCGTGGTGATAGACCTTGGGAGGTGGAAGCATCTTCGTCACCCTGTCCAGCCCCAGCCTTGCGTCACCATAAGGGAGTGCCTCGAGTTCAGAGTCGGAGAAGGGGTAGGCTTGGTATTTTGACAGTGTAGCGGGAAGAAGGGCAACATTCGCAGCTGATAAAAGCGCTACTGCAAAGGAGAAGTAGAAGATGAGCCTAGGCAGCTGCGAGGGCTTTGATGGCGCGAGCTCAGGGAGGGTTTCTGAAGGTTCCAGCAAGGGCGCAGAATGGTCATCGTCTTCGTCCTCCTCGGAGGAGGAACGCTTCTCGAGAGTGACGCTGGAGCTCTCGCCATCGTCATGCAGCGCGAGCGCCGCATACCGGGAAGAGTTGGACTTTCCTTTGGCGGAGAACATGGTGAGGGGTGGGGCAAAGAGCAGAGCAACGCGAGCAAGAAGGGAGAGAGGAGCAAGAATAGAGAGAGAGGGTGATTGACGTGAAAGAGGGAGGGCGAGCGCGAGGAGTGAGACGGCACGCGGTGGTCGAAGGCGAGGTTGGAGTAGGCGGTGGCGCTCATGGTGCTTACCCTGCAACGGTAAGTACTGGGTAACTCATATCTCGTAAGATCTGATCTTCACCGAAGTACTGAACATGCATGCGGCACAGTCAGCTCGGAGAGCAGCATCCAGAAATTGCAACATTGTGGACCTGCATCACGCCCGGCCATGGTACGCATGGCTGCCTAAATATTCCAGGGTTTCAGGAACTTCTGCATTCACTCCGCCTGCGCAAACATCTAGCTCGGCGACAAGACACATCGCTTTGCATCGACATCACATTATGGATCTGCATGCATGGTAAGCATGATATCTCTGGCAATCCTGTACGTATTTGACAGCTCCTCCTAGCGGGTAGTGAAGGCCTCAATAGTGAAGCGAATCGGGTTGTCTGAGCCTGAGGTACTTCAGTTTAGGTTCTCTCTCCGCCGTGGAGGAGAGATGCATCGTCACATCAGCATCGTGCTGCACTCGAATTCTTTCAGTCAACCATGCCTTCCCTCCGCACCGCAATCACGTTTATGCTTGCCCTCGGCATCGGTATCAACCCCACATCCGCCGCACATGCTGGCTTTCATGTCCAGTTCCCATGGCTGTCCCGCGGTCAAAAAATCTGGACCCGGCCGGAGATAGATCAGTACAATCCTTTCTGTCGTAAGGTGACTTCCGCTTCCCGTTTAGCAGCAGCGCAAACTGAAACAGAGAAGGAGACATCGTACACAACCCCCAAAGATATGCCCACCGCTCCCGCACCTTTCTCTCCTTCTCTGGTCACCCTGGGGACCTTGTGACGGCGCTGTATTCTCGGAGCAGAGTCCCAAGGGAGAGAAACGACTTTACTCACATCATCCTACAAGATGTGCCCATCCAGCCTTCGGGACAGCTGTGCGTGAACGTAACGATACCGTTTCAGACCAAGATTGGCGAGATGGGTGTCATGTACTTCGAGGCGAGGGATCCGGAAACTGGGAACGTGGAATACTATGTTTGTTGCCCCGACGTTCAAGTAGCGAGGCTCATACTAATGCGAAGACAGTGCTCTGATGTCAAGATGGCCGACATAGAGGCCCTCCCAGAAGAGCATCCGGCTATGTGTGCTGCCGGCAACGAAACCCTGATCCCAATGCCGGATGAGTTTTTGTAGATACAGGACGGATGTGTCAGACTAAGGTGCGGCTTATAGTGGTAGAAACAACGGTGTCTCTTAGGCGTAGCAGACGTAAATACATATCTACCTCTAATGATCATAGACACGTTGTTCCCAAAAATGCAGCTTTGCGCCCCAATCTGCCTTAAGGAGCAATGGCTCATTTTAAAGCCGTGCTATGCTCTGAAGAGGAACATAGAATCCAGCTTCCACAAACACACGGAATGATATAAACACGCACAGAAAAGATAATCGAGAAAACACTTGATGTACTCTTGTTTGAATGCGACATACTTCTGTAACGAGTGTGATGAAAATCGTCGCAACACCTAGCTCAAGCACCAAACTACGATCACTGGAAGTTCGCAAAAGTGCAGTTGCACCGTGCTACATCTCCCCTTCTCGTCAGCTAGCTAAACCTGCACCGTACAGAAATTGCCCCAGAAGGAGACCTCCAATCCCCCTCATCTTGCCATTAATGTCCCTGGATTTATACAGACTCGTCGTCGTCTACAGCGTACCTGTGGCGCTTCTCGAGGGCGGTCTCGTCGTCATCCAAGGCGTATCTGTGACGCTTCTCAAGGGCCGCCTCATCGTCATCCAAGGCGTATCTGTGACGCTTCTCGAGGGCAGACTCATCATCGTCCAGAGCGTACCTGTGACGTTTCTCGAGGGCAGACTCGTCGTCATCAAGGGCGTATCTGTGACGCTTCTCGAGGGCAGACTCATCATCGTCCAAGGCGTATCTGTGACGCTTCTCGAGGGCAGACTCATCATCGTCCAGAGCGTACCTGTGACGTTTCTCGAGGGCGGTCTCATCGTCATCCAAGGCGTACTTGTGCCGCTTCTCGAGAGCGGTTTCGTCGTCGTCAAGAGCATATCTGTGACGCTTCTCGAGGGCTGTCTCGTCGTCATCAAGGGCATACCTGTGACGCTTTTCGACGGCGACCTCGTCGGCATCCACACCATAGGTATGTCGGCGAACCAGATCAGTAGCCGGAACCGCTGCAGCCTGAATAGGGAGAATGTTGAGGCCGAGGCTGGCGAGGCTGAGCAGGGTGACAGCGAACTTCATGTTTGGAGTCTTGCGGTAAGCGAGTAGATAGATGCTTTTCACGGGTGATTTGAAGATAGAGATGTTTCGTTGATCCGTAATTGTTAATTCTCGTTGTGTCCGAGGTAATTTATGTGTTTCTCGTTCCAAAGGGGACGAAGACTCGGAGAATAAGTAGGTACGCACAACGACCATCAAGGCCTTCAACAAGACTTTGAAGGATTCCCTGGCGTACACACCGAGCTGCATACCGTCGAAAAATACTCACACACGCCATTTCTTGGCCAGCAGGTGACTAGAATCGCTGCGACGCCACAGCTTGATGGATATCCTTCCCGTGCGAGTCTTTACTCGCTTGGTTGACCATCATCAAATTCGGATGCTGATCTCGTAACTCCTCCCGGCCGCATATTCCGTTCCCTGTCGCCGATTCGACTATGACAATGCACCTGAGTTCCCTCCTCACTGAAACAGGTGGAGTCTTACGAGCTGGTGCTCATCGTCCTTTGCCAATGGTAGTATCGTACAAGCCGCCGTTCTCTTGACAAAGTGCCGCAAAAGTGGTAGTCTAACGTCTTTCGTCACTTGCGACCGCGAAGTAGGCGGCTGATTTACAGACACGAGAGGGGTAGTTTGCGGGTATATCCGCGGGCATGGCGGCTTATGGTCTAGATTCTGACTGGCTTTCGGTAACTGTCACCCCCCACCCCCATTTCCCTTGCCCTGTGTTGGGTTGGTAACTCTCATAGGCTCGGCCCCAATGCCACGAAGGATTCTTGCATGACAATGCTTGTCGATTGCGTGCCAAGTCACTGCCATCCAGACCACGTTGTCTTGGTTCGCCTTGGTCTCATTAAGCTTCCCAAAACCTTGACCAAGATGTCTAGTCTCCATCTTTCGTCGGCCTTGGCAGGCAACAGCCCGTAGACCCCATGTCGGAAGCAGGTGCGTAGATCCGTGCCGTAGCGGCACGGGTGTAGTCGCCTGCCGATTGGAGGATGGCGATCGGAAGAAAGCGTTGAATCGCGCTAAACCTGCAGTCATGGTAACATCAAGTCCCCGCAGATAGTTTGAGATGTTTTCGGAAGGTCGGATGCATGGGCCTTTACAGAGTCCAAAAGGGATCTTCGTATGTCGCTGCCTACTAAGGTATCAATTTGCACGAGGGCGTACTTCACAGGAAGTGGCTTGGCAATGGCGTTGCGCAGCAGGCGCTTGGGGAATCACTTAACCGCCTAGTAGTCTCACCAACCACGTGCTGAATAACGGGAGTGACGTGAACCAATGTCAGCAGAGCTTTAGTAGACATTCAGCTCGAAAATGTGTACGACTTGCCACTTTGGTCTTAACGGTGAGCGGGCGATACAACGTTTCCAGGAGTAAATGATAGGCTATAATAACTCCATTCTCACCAGAAAGTCAATTGCAGGTTCACGCGATAGCTATGGTGAGGTACTTGGCGTGATCAAGTACCACTATGACGAGCTGCCTGAGATCTCCACTAGCTGCACCGGAGCGTACAGATGGTAAGCTCTGTTTACGATCTGTCAGAAGGATTTGGGACCTTTGTCCCATCTATCTAGCCGGGCGATGCTCCTCTGACATGATCAATTGTCATCTACACCGGCAACTTCACAGGCAACACGCCCGGAGTAAAGTACGGTAAGTGACAACTTGGAGAGTAATCCCGGTATTTGCTTATGTAGCATTATCTGCGTTCGTTACGAACGGGATAGCCTTTGTGGAAACGGTCTCGGTGGTTCGTGAATCGTCTCTGCTGACTCGTGCCTTCCTCATCATTGACGAGATCATTTGAATGAGGGGTTGAATGCAGCAGCCTTACAACCGGGCTTCCAACTGCCTCGATCCTCGGAAACCAATCCCTACCTTCTCACTCAACGTACAGCGGATACATGCGGCCATACTTGTGTTAAGCTGAAGTCGACCGCTCCTGACGCTGAAAAGAGTCGCGCTCTCTCTATGCCAACCTAGACGCACAACCCTACCAAGACACCAAAATGTTCCTCAAATCCCTTACCTCTCAATTGCGAGGCCCCTCCCTCGGCCTGCTCACAGCGCTGAGCGTATGCCTTGTCCTGAACCTAGGGGCTCTGCTCTTCTCCCTCCGCATCTTGACGCGCGGATCGCGAGCATACAGTACGCCACATCTCATATCATAAGCCCTCTCTTCACCACCATTACTGACTCAAAATCAGCATACCTCGAAGGCGACCGGCCTCGTGAGCTCCCTATCAAGGTTCGCACCATTCAAGCCGACTTCCACGACGACCCCGACCACTACGGGATGGACGGCATCGCGGCCACAGCCGAATGGAACGCGATTCGCCCTCCCGGCAAAGGCTTCGTATTCCTGGGGGACGAGCACTACGCCTTTGGCGTGTCGATGTGGCATCAGATGCACTGCCTAAATCACATCCGCGCGGTTATCGTCAACGGGGACGACGGATCAGATCATACATGGCACTGCTTTCATTACCTGCGTCAGGGTATTCTTTGCGCCGCCGACACGACTCTAGAGGCAGGCGGTACTAGCAAGAAACTGCCTAATGGCGATAAAGTTGCTACGGGCGGAGGAACTGTGCATACCTGCCGGGACTGGAGACAGGTACACGATTGGATGGAGAGCGAGCATGACAAATGGACACCCGAGATGTATGAGAGGATCAAAGAGTCTAGTTTATAGAGATTCTGTCTTCTATCAAGGCCAGACTACTAACAGATTGATCAAGTATTCAAACAATTGAACAAATATCAACGTGTTGATTTTGCTTATTATTTCCATTCTCTCAGTTCTGCAAGAAAGCATGGACAGAACCACACGCATATTTTCATTTGAATTCAATATGGGTTTAAATTGAATGCCTTAAACTGAACTACAAGACGTTTGACGTATTGATCCAATGGCCCCTCTCACTCCTCGTCCGAATACTGATAACACAATGGCCAAGACTCCGTGTCAAACACCCGGCTCGGCGCCACGGGTACACTCTGAACGTCAAAGGGCATCAGATGATCTGCATGCGCTTCCAGATCATAGCGTGGGTCGCTCATATTCTTCGGGTTTAGGGGTATCCCGGAGAAGGCGGCGAAGTTGGATGGGTGGTGGCGCTGCCACTGTACAAGACCCATTATCCCATGTCAGCACACTACTGTAACAGCGAGGCACAAGGGGATCAACGCGTACCTTGTTCCACAACCGGTCCAGCTGAGCATGATGCAGCCAGAAGAGCGGGTCATTGGGCGTGAAGCTGACCGCCAAGTCCCGGCAATCCTCCTCCGGCAGGGCCTTCGGGCAGTCTCCCGCCAGGTCGCCGCCGACGAAGTTGTGTATGTGGTTGTGCATCAGGGCCATTGCGTGCTGGAACTTGAAAAAGTCGCCAGTGGTCTGCTCGGTCGAGTTGCGCACGAATTCCGGGCCCAGGGTGCGGTTTTGAGGTAGCTCGTGTTCGAACCAGCCGGTGATGAGGGTGAGATTCCTCCGCAGTCGGTGCGGGACCGGCCAGGCAAGCTCCAAGTGAGAAAAGGCGCCCGTTCTGACGGCACAGTCGGCCTCCGAGGAGTCGCAGTCACCCGTTCCGCCTAGCCCGTACTCAGTAGAGTCCTCAAAAACGGGCGAGCTGAACAAGTCTGCGTGATCGCGCGACCAGTCCCAGTACGGCGTTGGGCCAGTATACCCGCAAGTACGGCGGAGAGACGAGTCGAAGAGGTAGGTAAACCACCGGTCTGTTCTCGCATAAGTAGGCAATTACCAAGTCTGGTGCGTGCTTGGGGGCGGGGGCTCACGCCATGGCAGGAAGTAGGCATTTCTATGTGCGCTGTGCTCAACTGCTGCGTGGGAGTAAGAGAAGTCGTCGTACAAACTCTTCTTCCCCTCGAGGACCGTCTGATCTGGCGAAAAGGACAGCCGTTCGTGTCGTATACCTGCTAAACATTTGACAGCTCCCACCCAGCCGGCTTTCTCGCCATGCGTCAACGTTCGCCATTCTTTGCGTGTAAGTAGCTTGCTGCACCGCTGTGCTTGTCCACGGCTGGGAAAGGCTGTGAGAACGGCGAGTAGGCAAAGAAACAAAATCGAACGACCCATGGCTATGGTATGTGGTTTGGGCTGTAAGAGTAGACTCGGAGGAGAGCTCGCTAGGTCATACTGGTTGCAGTACTAATAGATGGGGATATAGAGAATATCCCATGTAGTCAGCATGCACAGGATTGGTCACCATTATTGATGGATGCGATCATCCTTGTCTCAGTCAGCAGAGCAGCCATTGCGGCACAATTTTGCTGCTCCATCTCACATTTCCCAGGAGGTCTCTGTATTATCTTTTCTCATCAAAACTTTCCTACTCCCTCCTAAGGAATAACTGGCCTTCCACTCATATCAACATGGGAGCCAAAGGCGCGACCATGCATACCTCGATCTATCCCTCCCGCTTCCTCGCGCTCTCCCTCTTCATCGTCTTCCCTCTCTACCTCGCCATCCGTGGTTCTTCTTCCCTATCTGACGTCGCTGTTGTCCTCTCCTCCCTATCCTCGCGCGCCGAAGCTCTTCACATCTCGCTCACTTCACCCATTGCTGCCACTCCCGCGCCAACCAACCAAACCGTTGAATCTTCCGGCGAGCCCGCAGGGTCCAAAAGCGGGAAGCAACATAGACAATCCTCCCTTCCCAATGGACTGGCCCACGCCATCACCTCCTTCGAGCAATACCCCCTCCTCGCCGAGCGCGCGCTACACCGCAAGCACACACGGTACTCTAAGCAGACATCCGCGCAGAAGGCCATCAGCAACAAGCTCGGCTATCCCACACACTTCGAGAAGGCCAGGCAGGGGATCGATGCCAACGCCCGGTTCACGGAACAGATCGCTCAGATCGCGAGGGCGCATTACCACACCGGACCCCAGGCACTGGGGGACGATGAAGACGCCGAGTTCGGTCTTGTAGACCTGGCTTTTGGACATCTCTCGCGAGACTGGAGCCCACAGGGCGTCAAGGAGAGACTGGCGGTCTTCCCGCCTGTTCTGGCTGGGCTTCAGGAACACTTTGGCGAGCATGGGAACGGGAAAAATGTACTTGTGCCTGGAAGCGGCATGGGCAGGCTGGCGAGCGACATTGCTGATTTAGGTGCGTCTCCAATCTTTTAGCAACGGCTGCATTCAAAAGGCGCGCAACCTCAAGTTTCTCACACTCAGCGCAGGATACAACGTCACAGCCAACGAGCTAGACTACGGGTCCATCCTCGCCTACCACCTCCTCACGAACCACACGACCTCCCTCCACCAGTACACTTTGCACCCCTTCGTGACCAAATGGACTCATCAGGCCAACCCCTCCTCGCGCTACTCCGCCGTGACGGTACCGGACCACTGGCCAAACAAGACCGTCAAGCTCGTCGAAGGCGACTTCTTAGACATGTTCCCCGAGGACGGCCAATTCGACGCCGTCGTCACGCTGTTCTTCATCGACATCTCCAACAACGTGATCGACTTCCTGAGCAACATTCATCGGCTGCTGAAGCCTGGCGGGGTTTGGGTCAACCTAGGACGTACGTTCACTATCTCCTCCGTTCTTGGAACATAAGAATCCAATACCTCTCTTGTCACCGGCGTCACCGCCAGAACTCAAGCTAACCTTGTGTACACAGCGCTGAAATGGGGCACCCACACCGCTCTCCAGCTCTCCGCGGAGGAAGTCCTCCAGCTAGCAGATCTGCTTGGCTTCGACGTAGATCATACATCGCGAAAGAGCGTCGACAGCCTGTATGCTGATCAGCCGGACACGTTGCTCAAGTTCACATATGGTCAGTCCCTACCATTTTCTTGTGCGAGGAACGAGGACCTTTGCTGATGGGATGAGCAGTAACGCAATTCTGGACGGCGACCAAGAGGGTGTAAAAGGGACGAGGGGTTATTGCACCCTGCGCCTTCACAGCTACCTACCCAAGAGCCACATCTTATTGGTCTGTTTGTCTAATTTGCTCAAGCCATCAGGGAATATCACAAAATATCTTCTTGTTTCCTCGGACGCATCCGTGGCTCTGGAAGCTGACATTGAACAACTTGGACGGCAATGACAACACTGGAATTTGATGATAACCGAGGCTGGCCCAGTTATGGTGGGTAGTACACCTTGCCGGAGGGGATACCACATAGATTCCGTGGTCTTCCCAAAGTCAGTCGTTGGGTCACAGCCGAAGACTCCGTAACTCCCTAAGCTGCGGTCGCATGATGGCCTTCTAATGTTTGGTCGCGTTGTGCGTGAAGAACTGCTATGATACATAAGATGAAGAAAGGAGACAGGACATTCACGCATGTATAAATGTAGACGATCATTCGAAAACGTGTTTGCGATTGTCATATTGATACATTTGACCGTCGCCGGGGCCGAGGTGTTTCGGTGGTATCTATCTAAACCTTTGTCTCGCATCCTACTTGATCCCTCCATATTTCCGTTGCGTTATATACATTAATATTACATATAAAATAGGGTGTGTGCGCCTTATTTCATGGGCGTGATGATGAGTACAATCCATTCAACCTTCTCCTCAACGCTTTTCAATGGAGTCCAGTAGGTAGTGAGCTTCTCCATCTTTCCAGCCTCGCCGACGAGACTTGCAAACCCAGACCTGCTGACGGGCCTCCCGGGCTTCTTCGAACTTCCATCGGAGTCGTCCTTCGAGGACCTACCCCCACCGAGACCAATGAGACTGCCCTTGCGGGCGAGGTACCCGCCTCCCAGCATAACGTCCAACGTGGCGGCCTTGCCGTCCCGGATCACGCGCTCGCGCACAGTGTTCTTGAAACTCTTTGTGACGGACGGCGAGTCAGCCAGCTCGGACAGCACTGTGAAAATGTCCCGGTGCGTGATGCTGTCAGCAACAGGCCCCAGACCGAGGACATCGAGTGCCGCGGCAGAGCAGTAAGCGACGCTCAGTTGAGGCGCTTTCCGCTTGCTCGGATCAGCTGGTAATGACGACGAGCGTGGCGGGAATCCAGACGGACCCTCCGTGTTTTGAAGAACAATGAAGCGGCTGTACGCCTCGTAAACGGTTTCGACCTGAGAGCCAAGAGAGAGGCGTTCTTCTGAGCCAACGGTAAGAAGTTGCTCAAGTCCGAGCCCCACTCCCTGAGACGGTGACGCGTTTTCCTGATTGTTGTTGCCGCCGTTGTTGTGCGTGGCATGCTTCCGGAATGGTTGAAAGAGGCTTTTCTTGGGTCCTTTGTTGTGGAGACTATCCCTGTTGCGGAGGCTTGTCCGACGTTCCGTCTTGCGGTCACGGCTGCTAGTTCGGCTCATCCTCCGGCTGCTTCGAGATTCCCGACCCGAGTTGTCGTCTTTCGGTGTTTCGTCCAGCGCCGGACCAAAGTTAAGAACCCGAACGAGGTCCTTGTACCCGGTGACATGGTCTGAAACGTCAACCTGTCCTCCGAGGTAGTAGCGGACCTTTCCGGAAGAATCTGTGAGTGGGCAGGTGAAGAGCAAGTTCCAGAAAGGGGATCCGTCGCGGCGATAGTTGAGAATTAGTTCTAGCGATTCCTCCTCTTGCACGACAGCCTCGCGAATTCTTTTAATGGTGTCCTGGTCGGTAAGGCCACCTTGGAGGAATCTGCAGTTTCGTGGCAGAGCCTCAATCTTGGAAAAGCCGGTGAGCGAAACAAAAGCGTCCGATGCGGCGACGATGGGATTCTCGGGATTCAAAGCATCGGTGAGACAGAAAGACTCGCCAAGGCCAGGATAACTGGGACCACGGGTGCCCGACAACGAAGCTGAGGTGCAGAGAGCCAGCTGGTGCTTGACATAGGCAGGGAAAATGGAGCGCGCAACCCTCTGTTCTACACATCGCTTGGATTCTCCGAAGAGGGAGTCGAGGCCGGGCAACACGCATCCAGTCAGTTGCTTCATGTCTGCGTTGAGTGACTTGCTGACGGTGGATGGCAGGTTGGCGGGCGTCGGCATTGATGAAGCTTGCTTTCCAAACTGCGCCAAGCAGCGGGAATACTCCTGGACTCGAAGGAGGAACTCGATATCGGGACCGCTCCCGCGGCTCGAGGCGAAGTGGAAAAATCGTTGTGACGTCTGCACATTGCCGAGAATCATCTGGAAAACTTCGCGGCCCAAGAAGTCAGGGATGGGCAGCGTCTCGGTCGGCTCCGCTTCCATCACGGGCGGTCCGAAGCTCCGGCGCAAACTCGTGGAGATACTGTCGAGGCTTGTCCACGTACCGGGGCCGAACGTTGGTGATCTCGGGGAGCCATCGGGGTTGTAGTCGGTATAACGGCGGAAAGCGTCTTCGTTTGTATGTAACGTCAAGCCGGAGTTGCTTCTCAAACGGAGGGACATCTTGCTCGGTCGGACACTGCGGGGGGTTGCGGGCGGTGAGAAAGTCATGGTAGGAACTGGTAAACACGAAGACGACGGCGGGGTAATCTTCATGTTTGGGTCCATCAGGCCCTTTGGGCTGTGGTTGTAATCATTGTCGTACGGTGGCGTCACCGGCGATCTCCTTGACATAGAAGACATGTTGTTGCTGTAATTTGATAGTAATGAGCGTCTGCAAATGAGTGTGTAGTGATTGTAATAGCCGTCTGGCAGGCTGGGCCGAAAGAAGGAAAAGAAAAGAAGAAAAGAAGAAGAGATTAAAGAAGATTGGTTTCCAAGTAGATCAAAATCAGACGTTGGACAAAGGCTACCGTTGCATCATACCTTGGGTAAAGAAACAGAGTGACGGACGCCGATACCACATGCCACCACGGAGCAAGAGGGGTTGTTCCTCTGGAGATGGAAAAGACGGCGGTCCCAGATGCTTATAGAAGAGGCAGCAGTGGGCAGATCCTGACTCGCACAGGCAGACTTCTCTTTGGTGTTGTGGCAGGCTTGTCAAACGCCATGGCAAGTAGGATGTCTTAGGGCGACGCCACGAACTTGCGGGGGAAAGTCGGGCACGCTGTACGCCGTAGCTCGCCCAGGAACAAACGGGCACGACAGACGGCGTCCGCTCAGCGGCCCTGGGTATTTCCCACATCGAACGTTGATCTCGGGAGATGCATGAACGCTCGCAGTATGCCGGTATAAGGCACAAGAAGCGTCGATCAATGGCATGTCGGCAGGGCAGGTGCAGGTAGGAACGGGGACGCATTGCGGGCCTTGTCGATTCAAGGGCCAAACTAAGCATCGGTCTGTCGTTCCAGGCTCCGGCACCAGGGGTGTTGCTATTGCCAGCTGCGTGTGGTAAAAAAAGCAATAGGCCGTGCGTCACGGTTGGTTCGTCGAGCTGATGGTGGCGGCGTCGAGAAGTCGGTATCCCGGGCCTCTTTTTGGGACGAGTGCTTTGTGTTGGCGCTAAGATAAACAGAGGGATTGGCAACCATGCCATCTGAAGTGTGGCGGGGATGACGGAGATCAGCGAGGACGACCGAGACGAGCAGGGTTGACCAGGAAATTTTGGGCCACATGGTAGGCGATCTCCCGCCGTTGCGTGACGATGGAGCAGCACGGGGCCCTATTTCGAGCGTGGTCGACACACCCAGACCGCCTGGTTGGGACGCCTGTCCCTGTCGTAGGCTTGATATGAAGGGGTTTGACGCCGTTGCGACGCTCTGGCCTGTGGCGGCGATGGCGGCGGTGGAATGTCGCATGCTGCAGCCGGTGGGCACATTGGCACAGCAGCTTTAGTAGGTGCGAATATGGCGACGCGCAAAAAGCGGCGGTCAACAGGCGACGAGGCGTGCATGCTGAAAGCAAGGCAGGCCATGCAGGCGGTGTTGGGATTGTCCCTGACAGTATCCGTCCCGAGGACCGTACGGACACGCGGACGGGGGACAATGAATTGGCCAGGCGGATGGGAATAGGGCGGGATCCCGTGCCGGCGTTTCATCATAATGAATGTTTCGGCTGCCATCGACATGTCGCAGATGCAATGGGACATGTCGCTTCTTGGAGACGAACGGCTGGAACCCATCACGGGATAGTCTGGTTGTTGGGGGCGGCGTCATTCTCGGCCGGGAGACAACGGTACCCGCGAGACGGCTCCATTTGGTTGCGAGGTGACTCCGAGATGGCCTTGGTAGTTCGTGGTGGTGCGGGTGATTGGTGGTGGTGTGGCCCGGTGACCGTCGCGGCTAGAACAGAACAGTGGTCGTCTCGAAGGAGGAGCTCCAGGATGGGGGGACGGGAGACGGAGACGAAGACGTAGACGTAGACGACGCGCCAAAAAGAGTAGAAGAGCTAAGGACGGCTGTGCGTTTGGCTTTTGGGCCTGGGGTGTATCAGGTCTTGGTCCTCCCGGCTGACTGCCTCGCTCATTTTGGGGCCGTTTTCAGGTGTGAAGCGATCGACAAACAGTCCGGCCTTCTCTGATGGGAGTCTGGCGAGAGGTCCATGCTGGCGATGTTGACGAAGACAGCGATTTTGGGAAAGAATGGAAGATGAGGATCATTCGTCTGGTCCGGGCGGGAGATACGATCAGACGGTGCTTGCAGGGATCGCAGCTGCAGGAAGACGGGATGCCAGGTTCGGACGAAAGAGGCGACGGTCTGTGTAACCGCGCTAGATGTCTTTTTTTTTTTCGGTGCATTTTTCCACTGTGCAGTCAAATGGCCATCGGAGTGATTGTTGGGGTGGTGGTGGTAGTGGTGTCGGGCTCGGTGGTGAGGAGAAGAGAAAATTGGGGAGAGCGAGGCACAGTCCAGAAGTATCGCCACACATGGCAAGCCACACTGTCCTCGTAGGGCGGAGGGCTGGACCTTCGTGCCAACGCCTCAAACAGTCTTTCTTTCTCATCCGTCAAGCCTCACCGGTAGACACCACGTCCACACCTCTGTGCAACGCCCGCCGTTAAGCCGTTGATGCCTTGTCTGTTTACGTCTAGACACCAAATGACACTTTTCAGGAATGCACAAAAAGCAATTCTGTTACAAAGTTTAATCCTTTGAATGGGCAATGGCTGAACATCAGTCACTACAGACAGGGCTTGAAAGCGCCCATCATCCACCGCCTGGCACCGGTGAGATTGTGGGGAACCCCTGCGTCAATCAGTGGATATTGTGCGAGACTGCGTGCTCCTGAGTCCTGACTAGTAGTCCCATCCTCGGGGGAGAGATCTAGGGCTGGGCATCTTGTATGCAAGACATGGCTATGCCTGGATGTTGCATCCGCCACGCTCTAGATGGAGAACGGAGCCCATGACATCAATGTATTCGATCAATGATCGTAGAAGCATGCATTTTTGATCACTATGGACTCACAGTGGTCACTAAATACATATTGGCGCGTCATTCATGGGTCACTCATTAGTTGGTTCCACGGAGTTTCCTTGTGGAGCGAAAACATGGCAACCATTTTCACTCAAGAAACCTAGGTAGAGACTGCGAACCACCAGTTTCTACTCAATTCTGCTCCCGGACATGAGCTCAGATCACATAGTGCTCATTCAGCCCCAGGACCTAATAAAAGCTCTCCATCATTGAGGACCGGGAACAAGCCATCGGTCTGCCGCCATGCCATCAGCGCGGGCCTCACAAAAGCACGTTCGCCTCAACACACCTCACGAGACCATTCATAACAGTGTCATTGACCTTCAGACGCAACTACCGGACTTGACAGCTTCAACTATATCAGCCGCCGCTAACCACAGGCTTGATCCGGTCTGGAGATCCATAGTTCTTCTTACGAAATCAAATAAACATACGGTGAGAATAGATATCAGCTGGGTTAATTTTGATCGGGCAAGCATGTAAGATTTTATTCGCAACACATAACTCTTCTGTGTTGATAGCATCTTCGATTAATCTCAAGAATAAACCTCCGCTGGGAAATCCTCCGCCTAGCGCCAATGGCGATCCGGACATTCTCTCATCGTCAACCTGCGCCGTCTGCAAAATGATGAAGAATGATGTAGTAGTGCAGAAACGCTCGTCCCTTATGCATCCTGAAAGGTTCGCCATTCCTCAGGACCTCATTATAGAACTTGATGCAAGAGACCGCCTAATTTTCCTGTGTCTGCGCGGCTCCTGTGTACTGAACTACTTCTGTCGGAGACGATGATAGTGACGACGACGACGACGATAATGACGACAATAACGACGACTTTAACGACGACGATAACAAAAGCGATAATGATAGAAATGACTTTAGTAAGGTAGAGTATGGTTACAGGAAAAGTAGTCAATAGCACAGGAAAAACAGGCCGTCTCATATGGAATGCAGATCCAATACTGAGGAGGTCCAAGCTCCCGTGACGCCGCCTTACATAATCTGTGAGCTGTGTGACCGCTAAAGTCAGGCGGAGCCGCGCTGTATCCTGCCCATAATAGTGGCCTGGGCTCCTGTGTATTGTCGCCAGCCGCCGCTTGGAAACCGCGACTGCCCTCCGGAACGGAACCTAAACTTCCCGACCCTTGGCCGACAACCTACGAGACGTCCTCCTTCCTTCCGCATCCTCACCCGCCCTCGCCATCGCCTCACTTGCCATCTCAATTGGCCTCAATCTACCACCTCCCAGGCCTCCGAATGGTATCGAATGCCCTTTGCAATCACAGAGTCCGAGCCAGACTACCCAGTTAGGCTCGCCGATGGGTGTCCGTCGCCGCCGCCAGCATGGACGCTAGCCCCGGGAGAGATTGGGCCAAGGCTCTGGAGGAGGTCCACGCGAAGACCTTCTCGGCGTACCTCTCGCTTCGCCAACGTGCCGTGAACGACGACTCGCAGCCGCTTCGAGATGTCGTCACTACTCTCAGGCTGCTTGTCGGTGCCACGCAGAGCCTAGCATTGCTTATCGAGGAGCTGCGCATGCGAGAGCTGGACTTCCTGTTCGACGGACCAAAACCTGGTCGCAACCTGCTCGACACCTTGAATGGCACTTTGAGCGACCTGAATCTGGCTACTCAAGGGGAAACTATTGATGAAAAAATCCTGGTCAAGCTTCGCGCTGTTTTAAGCGGCCTCAGAACAGCTGCCGCTACCGACCACCACCTTGACTTCGAGCTCTGCTTATCCACCATTGGCTCCTCATCTGTCGCAGAACAACGGCCTCAGCCTGCGCTGTCTACATTGAATGACACTCACCATCATGACGACTCCTACAACGATGCTCTGGCATGTGTTGAGCAGATCTGCGGCCCCGATGTTCAGCTAGCCAAGCCATGTGACTATTACGTGTACAAGGCGAAGCTGGCGGAGAGAGATGTGGAGCGGCCATCCTATGGCACGTACGCGCTGAGACTGCCAGAGCTTGTCGAGAAGCACTGGGGAAGTATTCGCCGAGACAAGAGTGTAGCTCCCGAAACGGCACAGTATGCCTTTCAATCCGATTTCAAGCACCTTTTCTCTCCAAAACTAAAGTCGGGGAACTTTGAGAATTGGGTTCTCGAGTACGCGCGCCAACAGTGGCCCGAACGATTTGATCCAACCTCCCCGAGCTTTTCGACGAAACCTCTTTTGCGGTTGATGTCACAAGTTTCCGACCCTTCGCTTCGTCCTATCCACGTCGCAGCTGCGTTGGGCATGGCCGAAGTCTGCCAGTGGCTGATATCTGCCGACCCGGAGTCTATTCGAGTGAGGAGCCCCTGGGGAACACCGTTCTACTGCGCCTTACTTGGTCCCAATGCTTTCCTCGGACGCGTGGCAGATCCAGTGGAGCTCTTAGCAGACATGCGCACTCCGGTCAATCAAAATGGGACCCTCGTCGTTCTCCAGAATGCCGGTGGCGCATTGAAAGGGACTGATTCTTCAATCATTGGGCCAAGTCAAGATGAGCCTGTGTCTCTGGCTACTTTGGCATTTCTTGTGTGCAACTTTCTTCAGTCACCAGAGAAATTTCTCAACATTATGGACCACAACCCCGACGTCTCTTTTTTCGACGAGCGTTTTCTAACTTTGTTTCGCTCAAATCGCTCAGAGAGATCGACATTGAGAAATTGGCCGATCCCATTTCCCCCAATCTATCTTAATTTCCTCGGTAGTGTTTTACCGGTAATCCTGGACAGAGCCGTCGTCAACTATGACAGCTACAACGATATGTCAATGTTAGCCACGGGTGTGTACGACATGATTGGGTTTTTCGAACTTGTACCGGAATATCTCCAGCGAGCCTCCTCACTTCTAAACATCACCCCCAAGGCTTACACTACGCTCGTTCGGGAGGCAGTCCAGGATCGTGAGGTGGACGTTGTTCGAAGACTCACCGAAGATCCGCGCTGGGATCCAAACGCCTTCCTTCACAAAGAGATACCGTCTCTGCAACCGACCGGTGATTCTTCTGACGTTCCGGATAAGGGAACATCCATTTTACATTGGGCCGTGGAATCCGATGACTTGGCTTTGACCCACCTCATATTGAACTCTGGATCGGATGTTCACGTCCGGAACCCAAGGAATCAAACACCAATGTTGCTGTCTGAATCTCCCGATGTCTTCAACCTTCTCCTAAGTCATGGGGCACAAACGACTGATACTGATGAGGACGGGAGAAACATCTGGCACGTTGCAGCAGCGAACTCCGACATTGATCTGATCAATTGCCTTCTCGAGAACGACGAGAACCAGGACCAGAATCTGAGGGCAAGGATGCAAGGGGGACAGACTCCAATCGCTCAAGGCGTCATCTACCCATTCAAGCAGATGATTAAAGGTCCCAAGTCGCCACCAAAACCACCATTCGGGGCTTTGCATCTCCTGAAGTGGTGCAAGAAAGACCCGCTTTATCTTCGCAGCCCGAAGCCTCTGCTATTTCTAGCAGCCGAGTGGGGCTCTGAACCTTTGGCGTCAAGCCTGCTCGAGTTTGGTGCGGACCCTAATGCTGTCGATGACCATGGGCGGTCTGTGCTACATTATTTGAACGCATCTGCAACGCCAGAGCTTGTACGGACGCTCAAGAATGGCTGCAAAGCGCCGGCTCTAGACGGTCGTGGACTGTCACCAGCGGAAACGATATTTGCCGCTTTCAATCTGGAAAGGGGTGGGCGTCTCTCGAAAAAAGCCCGGAACCACCCAGCGTACTCTGAGCCACTCAAAGCTTCCGCATACGAATGCCTCCTCACGCGAGATGTTCTTGCTTCGCGTAATGCATCTGGGGCTGGCCTTTGGGAACGATTCGCGACGACGGTGATCGCCGAGTGGAGCCCTCGTTGGCCAGAGGGGCTGGATGCTGGACCGTCTATAGTAACGGCACTCAATGCTCTAGTCAAGATGTGGGCACTGGCCGACTATGAAACCTCCACGCAAAGTTCGGCGCTGTTCCCCATCCTTGACACTTGGATTGAAGGCTTGCCAACTCATTCCGAGGTCCCGCCTTGGATGGGGGATGTCTTTGGCTGCATCTTGAAGGCGTCGGGTTTCAAAGATTCTCTGAAGACTTCCTCCGAAGCCATCACATTGCTGAAAGCTTGCATACAGCAAGGCAGAGGCGACCTTGTGTCTAAGCTTCTAAGAGCGGGTATCTCTGTCCATGAAAGGGTAGATGGTACTTCAGCGCTTGAAGTGGCGTGTCAAGGTGAAGAAACATCTCGTTGCAATCTTGAGATGTTCGAGAATATATTATCTCACGTGGAAGTAGAAAAGCTCAATGAGGTTGAAGAGGAAGGGACCAGCCTGTTAGAATGGCTGTTGGAAGACTTGGTATCATCACGAGATAAGAAGCTATCCTACCTATTGGATTATGGATGCGACCCAAATGCCGGCTCTGCAGCCCGTGGCATCCCTATTGTTCTCAACTACATCATGCATAACCAGATCGATGGTGCCAGGACGCTTCTCAGACACGGTGCAGACCCTTCAGCTACCGATACATACGGTAGAGACTCGGCACTGACAGCCGTATCAGTCGGGTCTCTCCGTCTTGTCGTATGCCTGAAGAACTTTTATTATGCGGATATCTATTGGGCTAGAACGTGTACTTCCCAATTCGAGGTAAAATCCGTTGCCGGGTCTAAGCGTACCATCATCTCAAACACTTTCAACGCCCTACATATTGCCTCGATCGACGGCCACGAGGCCATTGCGGACTTTTACATCAAGGAACTCAGACTCTCAACCAATGTAGCAACGCTGCATGAGCGATGGACACCTCTGCACTGTGCCGCCCTCGGCGGTTCGACATCTTGCATGCGAGTACTCATCGAACACGGTGCGGACCCTACGAGAGAAGATTACCAAGGCCGAACACCGCTCATGATCGCCGTTGAGGCCGGCGATGCCGAGGCCGTGCGCTTGTTGCTGAAGGTTTGCTCGGCGAAGATGTCGATCGAGAAACCTTTCTTGCGTGCCCTTGAAATCGGTTACGGTGTGTTGCTCGTGCTATTCGCCCCTTACTTGACGACTCTTCTTCCTCGTCTTCCACCAACACCAGACGAAGCTCAGGCGCCCCGGGGCCACCTAGCTGGGGCCATTCTCGAAGCACTGATCGTAGAGGGAGACAAGACAGCATGGAAGACCTGCGAAAGAGTCTTGGAGTATCTGGATCGTGCAGCTTTGAACGACATCAGGCTGTCCTGCGGAGAATGCTCCCCTGTCGTGTTCGCACTCAGGTCGGGCTGCTACAGAACCTGTCTTCGCCTTCTGCAACATGGCATGAGACCAGAAGCCATCACTAAACAGTGTCCTCGTCACTTCCACGCACCGCCATCATCTGCGCATGAGAGCATTCACCCATGCACTGTCTTACACCTGGCTGTGCATCACTTGTCTGAGAAGAGATCCGCCAAGCGGCACATACACGAAATTGTCCAATTTCTCCTTCTTCACACCGACTGGTATCAACACCCGATAAGTCCGATACACTATGCTGTCACTTGCAGGAATGGGGCTGCAAATGCGGCATTGCTGGCTATTCTGGCGCACCTGAAGATGTACTCCTCCAGATACCGAGACATGGTGCCGGAAGGCCAGTTTCGGATCACTGACCGAACGAACCCAGACCACGCCTGGGCGCACAACGAGCAGAAGGTTCTATCCCATTTTTTCAACCAACGTATTTCCTCCGATGCGTTTTCGCCGGAATTTCAAAAGGGCGATTCCCCGCTTCTCCTGGCAACTAGGGTAAAATCATCAACATCTATGCAAATCATCCAGATACTGGTGACCCACGGCGCCAATCTGTCCGATGGCGACGCCACAAACCCACTCCACGAGGCGGCTAGGAACGACTTTGTCGAGGCTGTCGAGTATCTTTTGCAGGTTGGGGCCAACTGCAGCCTTCGGGACGCAAATGGATTTACGCCGTTGATGGTCGCCGTTGCTGGAGGAAATCTGGATGCCGCGAAGGTACTCGTCAGTCATGGTGCCAGCATACGCGTGCGGGATACACATGGCACGGGGTTGCTCGGCATCTGTGCGAAGTCCAAGAATCCGGCCGCCTTGCAATGGCTGCTCGGTCTTGGGCTGGATCCCTATGAGTCGGATCAGCAGAATCTGACGGCGCTACACCGCGCACTCTGCAATCTCCATCTTTCCAGCCTCGTTTTGAACTACGGCTTTGACCTTTCAAATATCGTACGAGGGGGCAGCAAGGACTTCCTGGCTGAGTTATTCAACCAAAGAAGGGCGTCAGAGAGCCTCCTCAAGATGCTGAAGCGGCTTCCAACAGAAGAGAGATTGACTTTGGTCAATCTTTCTCCGGGAGACCCCTTCACCCCTCTCTGCCGCGCAGTCGTGGAAAACGACTTGTCTCGTGCCCGCGTGCTCCTGGAATACGGCGCAAAGCTTGACGAAGAAGGCACGTCTGAGGGATCTGCGTTGATGCTGGCGTGCTCGTTCGGACGGATGGACTTTGTGAAGATGTTCGTCCGCCTCGGCGCCAGCATTTCGTACACGGCTACTCTCCCCGGGGGGCAAGTTGTCTCCAGAAACGCCTTGGCCTTGGCAGAGCAATTCGCTGAGATTCAGAGATGGATTCTTGTGGAGAGGCATATATCGCAGCGCAGACTCGGGGATGTTGACCCCGAGGCGATGGATGTTGATCAAGAAGTGAAGCCGTGGGCTGGCGTTTGCAAAACGGAATACGACGTCTTAGATACCGGGATTCTCATTGCTCGTGCGGCAAGGGAGTCGAGCTTGGATTATGTGAAGAAGCTTGAGGGGATACGGAGGGGACTTAGGGGAACAGTATTGATGAGAGCTGTCGAGCTGGAAAATTAGAATGAGAGAGCCAGGTTTACTTCTCAGTAGAGTTAGCGTCTGTCACGTCTGGTTTAGGGGACCATGTCCAGGAGAACCTTATGAGAAAGACGGAATTGGAAATCGTAAAATATCACGATTGTTAATGCGGTGATGAATATCCCTCAGAGTACCTCCTGACGAGCAGTGTTTCAATCTCGGAATGTTTGGCGATGAAAGATCCCGTGAATTTGATTGGCAATTCAAAGTGACAATCCTCGTTGGTGTAAGTCTCCGAGATGGTCTTCATTAGCGATCGCTTTACTAAGTATCCTGTATAAGATGGCTCGTAACCACTTTCACTTCGAGGCAGTTCTTATCATCAAGCATCATCAACTCCTCTCTAGAAACCCCCTCTCATCACCACTCACAACAACAACAACAACAATGGCCCCCATCAGCCTCTACAACGCCTCCATCCCCAATTCAAAACCGGCCTCACCGTCCTCTCCCGAATCCTCACCAAAGCAGCTCTCCACTTTCCCGACTCTCCCGATTCCATCCTGACTGCGAGGGCATGCTTCCCCTGCCAGACCACGTCCTGCTCGTCTCCAACATCGCCAAGAAGTCGCTCACGCGCATGGCCGGGATCCAGGTCAACGTGTGGCCCGACGATGAGGGCACGGTGGAGAAGCTGATTGCGCGGTGCGAGCGCACGATTGCGCTGCTGGACAGCGTGGTGCCACGGGACGTCGACGGGCACGAGGGGGGTACGGTGGAGTTTCGGCTTGGGGGGGGGGGGGGGGGGGGGGGGGGGANGGGGGGGGGGGGGGGGGGGGGGGGGGGGGGGTGTGAGTTGAAGATGACGGCGGAGGAATATTTGATGAAGTACGCGGTGCCGTTTTTTGGGTTCCATTTGGGGCTGGCGTATGCTATGCTTCGGATGAAGGGGGTGGAGTTGGGGTTTGCGGATTGTTTGATGCCGGGGGTTGGGCCTTTAGAAGTCTAAAGAGGATTCTAAGCAAAGCTTTTGATTAGTCTAGTAGCTGAGAGAAAATAGTCAAGCAGGCTTTTGAGCTGGAGACCGCCTAATTCTCCTGTGACTGCGCAGCTATTTTTCCTATTTACTTAATTACTCCTATTAAAAGTAATAGGAGTAATAGCGATAGTAATAATAAAGACAGGGACGAGGACGAGGACAACTATAATAACGATAATGATAATAGTAGAAGTAATAATGACGATGATAATAGTAGAGCGATTAGAGTATAGTTACAGGAAAAGTAGTCGTCCTAGCACAGGAAAAATAGGCGGTCGCTTAAGCTGGCCCATTAGAGCAGATCGATGCACCTTTGCGGTGCAAGGGCACATTAGAACCACTAATTGAACACTCTATAAAGGAAACACACCAGGCATACTAGCAGGATCCAATTTGCAACCCAAACCTGCAGAACAGATCAAAATGTCCAACCAGGATAGTGAGCATTTGCATGTTGTGTGTCATTCTTATCACCGTCAGCATGCCACAACCGCCTTCATGACCAGTTTTAGTCCGTCTCCGAATCACAAAAATGCAGTTTGCAAGATGAGCTGGTCATCTGACAAGTCTTGAGTCCCGTTTCTGCAATTAGCTGGAAACTGGCGGGCTTTTAGAAGCAGAGCCCTATCTTTCCGACTCGTTTCGTCACTCCTCTTGTTTTTGGATCTGCCGAGTTTGAGAAAGGACCTCAGCGAAGAGTGCGTGGCCTTATTCAAATATTCTCGAACGGCTGCCCACTCAACTGGTCTCGGGCTAGTATCGTTATGAGGAGCACGTTCGCTGGCTTCTTCCTCAATGAGAAGTGCAAACTCCATCTCTTGTTTCGAGAATCCACCAGGAGATATAGGCTTGCTGTTCAAGCCGAGAATGTCATGAGCGGTAATGTACAGCCCAAACTCCAAGCAAAATGACAGAAGACTGCCTCTCTGCTGTATTTTATGGATGCTCACTCCTTCGTGCCGTCTCTCGGACCAATGAACATGTTTGGACACATCGTGTCTTGTTTCATTTTTCACGTAAAGCTGCGCAAGACGTGTTGAAACCTTTTCAAGCTCCTGAATGGTTGCAGTCTGAGGCTCGCTTGTCGCTGTCTCCTGGACGGCAGCGTACCTGGTGATCGATTTGATACTAGCCCAAGAGAACTGAAACCATATCTGTGCGAGAACCATCGCCGGTTGCCGGCTCTGAAAGGTTGCTGAATGTTTCATAGCGAGAATGTTGGCTTTCATGAGAGAGGGATAAGGATTGAAATTGTAACCGCCTTGGCTTTCGATAAGGTAGTTTTTAGTCCGCTCATCCTCAAGGAAGTCCACGACGGTCTTGTGCATGAACTCAACCGCTCGAGACTTTGAGTCAGCGTTTGGAGGCAGCGATGATGACACTTCAATCAGACCTAAACATCGAGACCTAAGACGTCCCTCGGTAGACGAGCATATCTCATCAAGGTCCTCTTCGCTGAAAGAGTTGACATCGGCTTTCCAGGCCGCATCCAATTTGCCGTCTTCCATATCCGCAAAGCCGAGTTGGAGCAGCGTCAGAGGTTTGTTCGCTCGGTACACAATCTCAAGTAGCTTTGATGCCTGCCTGACGTACCGCTTCTCGATGCTCATAAGCATGTGCATGTAGAGTTTCAACAGATCTTCTGGTAATTCATGGAGTCGCTCCTCGAGGTCTAAGCTGCGGTCAAACTTATCCAATCCCTCGCAGAGAGACCTTACGACAAGCTTGACCCACAAGAAAACCCCACAAGCTTTCTTGACAATAACGGCTGCGAGACGACCGGCAATATCCGGATCATTTTCCTGCAGTTTACGAACCCGCTGATTTGCACTGAATTTACCGGAAGAGTACTTCACGATATCATCATGCGTGAGCTGTTCGAGCTTCAGCCTCGGTAATCCCTTGAAGTTCACCTCAAAAAGACTGTATGGGCGGCTCGATACACAGATCTTTATATCATCATTTTGGGCTAGCAGGGTGATGAATTCGGTGAGATCGCCGTAGTCGCCATGGTATTCGTCGAGGCCGTCGATAAAAAGACAAATCTTCAGTGGCACTGCTGTCTGGAACACGATGCCCTCTAGAAGATCTTTCAACTGGGCCTTCGACCATTCGTGACTCACTCTATCGTTGTCTTGGCGTGGTGGTGCCTGAAAAACCACTGGGATAAGCTCCCTGTGAGCCACCAGGAGCTGATATATAAGAGACTGCAATAGACCCTCCTGTGATTTCTGCATCGGACCGCCGGCGTTCCAGAAGAAAAAGCCAGCCGCGACGACCGGCACCTCTTTCGCCCATGACTGGATCAGCGACGTTGTCTGTTCATGTGAAAAGACGTGCTTCATGAGTGTAGATTTGCCTGAACCAGCCTTTCCACTGAACCAGTACAGCGGTTTCTTACTTGCGAACCATTGCGGAAAATTGTCCCATCTCCGATCCGCTAGGTCCGATTTGTCGAACACCCATTCGAATGTCGCGCGTTCTGCCTCCGGAATGTTCTCCTCGCGGTCGCGCATGACAGGGAATCTGAAAGAATTGAGGAGCCATTTATCCTCTTCAAGGATTTTGGAGGAACATTCGACTACTTCGCTCACGATTGCTGAAACATCCTCGAAGGCTCTTTGAGAATCTTTCGGATCGAGGAAAAGGTTGCGCTTGGTCAGATTTCTCTCAATTTGACGAAAAGCCCTCTCTTGCGTTTTCCGATGTTGACGTCTTGCCTTTTTCGTTGCCGCCTTGGAGGACTCCACGGTATGGAAACTGTCGGCGTCTTGTTGTTCTCCAAGTCGCATGTTCTGTTGCATGAACTCCTGTAGGGTTTCTCGCATAGTCTTCTGGATCGCACTGAATTGATCGGCCTGCCGAGTAGATACAAACTCCATTCGTTCTCTATAAATAAAAAGGATTTAGCTTTCGCATTCGACTTGTCCACCAGATCATGAGATGGAAACTTTGGCCTTACCTTAGCTCTAAGAGTATCTGCAGCCGAAGCTCCGTTTTGCATGTTTCTAAATCATCCTTCATGCGCTGCAATTCGGGCTCAGCCCAAATCTCCTGAACGGCAACTTTCAAGCTGGACCATATTCTATGTTGGCCCTTGTTATCTCTAAGATGATCCAGCCTCCTCAATAGTGTCTGGGCAACAACGAAACATTTAGCAGCGACTGCTTGGACCGGACTGAGAGCTACGTCCGCTTTGGCCGGTGAGTGATATGCAAGCATGGTTGAATGGCCCACCAGACATTTGATAGCGTCATTGAAGCCGTTCTCATTGATCTTCCAATGCAGTTCGAGCGGATTGTCTTCTCTCCAGAGCATCAGCCGTCTGTCCCATATTCTGGGCTTCAGCATTGGCCCTTGTTCAACCGAAAAGAGAAAGCCGCGCAGCTGGTTGTTCAAGTCCTCGACATTTTGCGAGGTGTTGCTGCTAGACTGATAAATCTCAATGGATTTTGTAAGTATCTTCTGAGCAAATTCAATGAAGGTAACAATGTTGCCCGCCAGGCCGAGAGCTGCCAGCGGTTCCATCTTCGGTAGTTCAGCGGGAAGAACAGGGGCAAGCCTTCTGTTGAACACCAGTCAATCATCCCGACCATAATTACTCAGGTCGAGAGATCAAAGGAGGACAGACACAACATTATTCATTGATTGAGAAGCCTAAGTGATCAATTTCCACCTGTCCCACGATTCGCCTAATTAATTTCTAGGTGTGTACTCCGCCTCGCCATGAACGGCAAGATGACGTGGAATGGCAACAACAAGCAGAAGAACGCCAGTAATGGGCGCACGATTCCCTAAAATGGGTTGATTCCGCTGACATATACGTCATTGGCGTATCACGAGTTGATCATAGGCAGGTTTTCAGTCCGCCTTGAAATTTGATTCGCTCCTCATTTGAGTGTCTGCCTTCACCGCCACTGTTCAATGCACATTACCCGTCACCGTACTGAAAGACTGTAGCACAATTTACGTCACAGTGCCTCATATTAGATAGACGTCTGCATTCTAGGAGTCATCTGTTCTCCCGCTGCAGGATCGCTGCCATTGTTCCCTCATTTTCTCCCGCGTCCCGCCAAGCTCGTGCTTCAGGCATTGCGACGGCCACTTGGAGGGACCTTTGGGGTACGCCAGCAAACGCAATGTAGATGAGCTCGCAATTCAGGCTACACTCGACTGTGACAGAATTTTGAGATGGAAATTCCCTGAAACAAGTGCCCCTAGAAGACAACGAGGCACACGTTCTCGACAAGTAGCAGAAAGCGTAAACTCCGTAAGCTAAGAATCTATCATTGAAAGTCGCTACAAAACAGCAACTAGAAAAATACTTTTCAGGGCTGACTAACGATGATATTCAGGGAAACGATCGCATGTTCTGATACACTGGCACGAAGAAGCCCTGGCTATCACAAGATGTCCGGGTCCATCTTGTTAGCAATCGGCGTCGTGGCATCCAATCCAATCACACTTACTCTCGTCACGCTGTCGAGTTTTGCCATTTTCTTTCAGTCGATTAAGTCCGAATCAGAACAAATGGAACATACACATGCGTATGCTTGGCCAGAGTATGCGACCTGCTTAGTACTCGTCGGCATCTCCACTGCTCACGGCTCCGCCCTGCAACGCGCGACACAACACAAACCCAACAATTTAGAGACACCTCGGTCAAGTCAGAAGCGCCTACATGATTTCCTTGTCGGACCCTTTGGCTCTCTTGAGCTGCTCGCCACCATTTGTATGCTCTTCGGTACTTTCGTGAAGTTTCTATTCTTGCAGGCAAAAGGTTCTGGTGAGCCTTGGAGCGAGAAAGCCCAATGGCTCATCGGTATTCTGACACTATGTACTTCTTTGTTGAACCTGCAGTTCTCACTGTTTGCAGAAATGCTGGCAGTACGTGCTATCCAGCGTGTCTTCAATCAACAGAGGACTGCTGGCTACGACATTGAGCAACTATTACTCTTTGCTGAACAGAAATTGCCAGAGCAATTATCCGCCATCAGTACCATACTAATCAACATAGACAAAATCTTGCCATACGACGCAGACGCTGTCGCTGTTGTTTCCGTCGACAAAGACCTGGTGAAGATACCATGGTCTGCCACACCCACCTGTAATAAGGAGAGTAGTGAGCAACACCAATACAGAGATAACCCCTCTCTCATCGACATTGGCATCAGATATATACTCTCAGAGACGATAAGAATCTTATCTAAGGCCGAGAACGACCTTGAACCAGCCGTTGAGGTACCACTACTCCATTTTGCTGAAAGCGAGGTCAAGGCCCTCCCATCCAAGAGTTTGGAAGGTTTCGAAATTTTGCACCACTACCCGTTTAATCCAACCAGAGGACGGCTTTTCACCATGACCGTAGCTAAGCTTGCGGCCGGTAAACTCAGAGTTTACATGAGAAGCGACCCTCGTACGGTGATTAGTAAATGCCGATACGCAGCCCGACGCACATGGGATCCCAGGAAAGACAAAAGTGAATCCTGCGTGCTACTATCGCCACCAGAGAGAGGCAAGTTGAAGGATCATGTCGATCATCTCGCTTTGCAATCTTTAATACTGGTTTCTCTTGCGTACAAAGATATCGAGCCCGGTGAACTACGGACTTTGGAGCATCAGACTGAAGAAGAAAACATCAGCGGCTTGTCAAATGGCTTGATATATCTCGGAACACTAGGAGTCAATGCGCCACTTCTCCAAGGCATCAGGGACGGCGTTCGTCTGTGCCAAGAATCGGGGATTTTTGTTCGCCTCTGCTCTTCGGCACCCACGTCAACTACAAACCTTGTCTCCGCTCAGTGCAACGTCCTTACAGATAGACCAAGTGTCATAAGGCTTGCAGACTTCTGTGCGTTGCCACAAAATCACCAGCGCGAAGCACTTCCATATTTATGCGCCTTTTCGGAATGCAATTTAAGCGCAGAAGGCAATCCAAACGGATCGGTCTTCCGAATCAGTCTCCATGACGTCTTCAGAGCTTTGAATCGAATGGCAGAGGTCCCGGCGTGGGCTGATACGAACTCTTTGAAGTTTCATAACATCAACCAGTTTTCGCAAGGCGCAGTACGCGGCGTCCAGTGGGCTCGCTGGTCTGTTGTGGTCAACGAAGAACTAGCGTACTTGTCAATGACTACAGCAGCGTTGGTCACGCTGATTAGTCTAGTCACTTCTTTGGTAGATGCGCATGCCAGATCTTTGATTCGGCCGGTTCATATTATGTGGTATGAGCTGTTATTTGGTATTTGGGGTTTGATGGCATTGGCGATGGATAATCCTCGCTCGGGCCTTCTTCGTCACAGCCCGTTTCGACTCTCTGATCCTTTGTTCAACCTGCAGACAATGAAAGTGGCCTTCGGAAGGATCTGCTATCAACTTATAGTCCTCCTTTCACTCGCATACGGAAGTCAATCAATCATAGAATACAAAGACCGGGAAGATTTGAGAGTAGGCAGCGTTGTATTCAACTGTCTCGCTTGGATGCAGATTTTTACAATCCTAACAAGTCGATTACTTGAGCAGCTTGAGGACTTGGGCGGATATGTCGAGGGCGGTCTGGGCTTCGGCATCATGTTCGTCGTGATCGTTGTTGCCCAAATCTTGGTCATGTTCTTTGGGTCCACTTCCTTCGGTCTTGTTTCTCTCCGACCTTCAGACTGGGCCCTTTCTGTCTGCTTTGGCGCTTCAATCATGGTCATCGACGTGGCATTACAAGCCATATTTGTCACGAACACGCGGCGTGGTGTTGCAGAACTGAGCTCGCGTATTCTCGGAAACTGGAGGAAGAATATTGCGAAGGAAGTTTGTTAATTTAAACGATCTGGATTCAGCGACAGAGAGGTTTGACGGGAATTTCTACTTGAGCGGTAGATGGGGTTTTACGTAAAGCAAATAAAGCTTACTTCGGGTTTCTACGTATCAGCACTTCATGGTTTGGAGTTCAAGGCACAGCAGACAGTACACATTATGGAAATGGAAAAGAAAAAAAAATTGAGTATATTCTGAATACTGCAGGCGTGTAATACCGATGGATGAGGCCCAATTTGAATTTGGTCCAGGCCATCGTACACTTTGATGAAAGAGAACATCTTTAACCCGCTCAAGGCACGCCAATGCGCACTTGTCTATATCGCTACGCGACTCCATGCTCTCAAGAACCGACGAACCAGCTGCCAATCTGTTAGTTAACATGCACCACGTGTGAAATGGGAGAGGAAAGGGTACGCACGGATACTCTTTATTTGCAAATGCCGTTAGTTCTGCAGAAGCCGCAGCAGCGCTGGCCGTCGACCTTGCTAATGCAGCATTGGCGGGCAGTCAGCTCGCCGCTCTCAGAGGTCGGGTCGACGCCAAGAGGGCCGGCGGCGGCGAAGGCGGCGAAGGCAGTGACGAGGAGGACCTTGAAGTTCATGGTGATGGTGTTTTGGTAGTGCTGGGTTTAAAGATAGTGTTTCTTGGCTGTGATACAGTGAATGAATGGTCGAGATGGATGAGTAGCACAAGAGACTCTTTGAGGCACGCAACGTAGACTCCTTATATACATCTAAGGTGACTAGTCCGGCCTTGTAGATTTGCGTCTGTAAGTTCAAAACTGGGGTAAAGTCTCTACGCAAATGACCATTGCTATCGCTAAAAGTCTCAACGTATCCATGGTCTGTGTTTGAGTTAGGGGGTATTTCGTCTTAGTGGACCTATACGATCCCGTCGGGTTCTAGTCATTCAACCGACGGGATGTACGGGGTTGCCGACTACGTTGTTCCCTAGAGCTTGGAGTCTGTAACAGTCAAAAAATCGCCGTGCATGTTTGTGGAGCCCCACAGGCGTCTCAGACCCCAGGCCACCTCTAAAGGCAGCGGTTTTATAGATAGAACCTGCGCCACTTAAGCTATGTCTACGGCCTTGCTTTAGAATGTTGACGACGTGGTGCCACTGACCTTTTAAGGATAAATTTAATGCTTCTCTTTTGCGGCGTGGTTGAGTGCAGAATGGCGAGTTCCATACTTCATCGGGTTGGTTGGACGTACTACGAATGGGACATGAACCATGCGAGTGAAGTCTGTCAAACTCGCATTAGGATGGTTCATCTGACTTTCCAGTTACCGCCAACTCGGAAAGACGGCACTCGCAATATGACGATTGCGAGTCAAGAGATTGGAAGCGGGCTGATTCTGAGGCGGATGGTGTCGATCAGTCAGTGCCATGCTGGAGCCTCCCTGCAAACCTAAAAATGTCAGCGGACATAATCGGAATGCGCGGCATCCAGATGAACGCCCTTTGCTCGCCGATTATTGAACATTTGGAGCTTGCGGTTGAGGTCTGATCCATAAAAGTGTAATTCTCGCTATTGAGAATCATTGCCCGGCCTGCCATCACACAGTGCTGGTGCGAAGAAGCTGCGGCAATGGACTCCGAGACATGCCGTGAAAAGGGCAGGTTGCTCACGTGGTCCGACGATGATTCCAATAGCGACGAGCAGACGCGCAGGATAAGCCGACAATCTTGGGCGCCGGTTACCATCATAGCACTTTCATGTTCAAACCTTTTCCTCGTCGCTTTATGCGCGTGCCTCGCACTGCGAGGGGTCGGTCAACCAACACCGCACACCGGACCGGACGCAGGGCCCTCGTGGCTTCCACCACAAAGTAAAGAAACTTCTTCTTACCTCTCTTGTTCTTTCCCTGTGATTAGAAGCGGGCAAAGTCGCGGACGTTTTCTAATATTGGCTGTGCTGCAGTACCGATGAAAAAGACGCTCATTTCCGAACCCATCTATGGAGGCCCGGTTACGAATGAGAGCGAGAAAGCTTGGGATGATTTGATGCCGCGTATGTTCCCCCAGCACCAGGAAACTTCCAATCACATAAGTTGACATGTTATACCAGTCGGCCGAGGGTTCGTCGTCATCAAAAATGAGACGGCGCTTCCGCAGGTGCCCAAGTTCAACGCGACCATGGGCGAGTACAAGGGAGTGATATCGGTCTTCCACCAGCTGCATTGCGTGGTAAGTAATCAGCATCCCTACATCTTGAGTCCCTGAACGGAAAGACCCGCGTTTCTTGAAATGTTTTGGGAGATTGACCAGTTCAACAGTGGGCAACGCGAGAGGCCTTCTTCAAGTTGCTGCGGGAGGGCAATTCGACCGAGATCGACCTCGGACACCTAAGTCACTGCTGGAACTTCGTCAGGCAAGCCATCCAGTGTCGCGCTGACACCACGATAGAGTGGCAGGTGTCGGAAGAGCTCGGGGGAAGTCTGGGATGGGGTTACCAGCATCAGTGCTATGATTATGACGCCCTCAAGGTCTGGGCTGAAGACCACAGCTGGGGTGATGACAATGAGAAGAATATCCAGTAGATAAATTTCAACACTTAGACTTCATCGTGATTCCAATTAGGCATACGTGGTGGGTGTGCTAATATTGTTCCGCGTTTACACGGTGAAGACGGCGTTTGTAGAAACGGAGAGGAAAGACAAAGAAGACAATCAATCCTTTGCCTCCCAGCATCCTCTAGAGCTGCGTTGAAGGTGTACAGGCGATTCGTACTTTTCCCCCATCAGGGGCTTCAGCTCAATAAAACTTCTGTTCTGGTATCCTCTACGGCTGGCTCTAGCGGAAAACGGACCTGCAAGGCCGGCCGAGGCACCCGGTCGGTGGAAACCTGGAGGCTTTTAGCGCTACACATTGCTGCCCTCTGCCTTAGAGAGGTGAAGCTATCAGATTTCCGGTGTCGGCCTTGGGATTGCACGTCTCAGCTGTGACAAGTTAATCATGCTCTGTCAGTGTCTAAACCGAGATTGATGATGCTAAATACCAGGCAGGTCGCTACGGCAATCAGGTGGTCGGTATGCCACCGTGAGAGCAGGTGCATCATGCTGAGAAACAGGCATCGAGAACCGTTCAGATGGAAGGTGGTGAGTACGCAGCACCTGAGGTGATTGAGTGGACGAAAGCCCAGTCGTCATCAGCGTACGTTGCGTGTCGGCCGTCATCATCCACTGTTATCAAGGTAGAGAAGACACTAAAAGCTCTATTCGTCGTCCGGAGGCGGCGTGCCTCGACTTCTAGTACGACATAGATGAGGGGTCTAGTATGCAATTCATGTGATGCAACCTGGAAACCAAACCGAAAAGCCCGGAAAAAGACCAACAAGATGGAGAAGCGAAGGGACACATATCAAACACGCGAGATGAAATCAGCAGTCAACATGCGGCTCAGCACATCTCCCACAACGGGCGTGGCAAGACTGTGTGCTTGCGTGGGCCGGAGCGCTTGCTCGTCTCCTTCACTGTGACATAGACTACGCGGCGCTCGGGGTTGCCGGTTGTGACGGACCGGGACTCGAGGCCGTAGTAGTCGGAGATGGAGTGCGTCAGCCATCGCCTGGGGCATGTTAGCAACTAATATCAGTGAAAAGCTTCCACGGCAGGGACATACTTGAAGGAGGCACCCTCATCGTCGCCTAGTGAGTCAAAGACCATGCCTGTGTCAACCTCCTCACTGCCAACCTCACGTCTCGCCTTCTTCCACCCCTTGCCAGCTGCACTCATCCCCTTGCGCCCGACAAAGACAATCTCCTCATCGGAGGAATCACCCTCAGCGTCGCTCTCCTCGTTGCGCTCCTTGAGGAAGTTCCTCACGGGCTCCTCCAGGACGCGGACCCAGCCCTTGACCGCAGGCGTGCGCTTTGCGGTCTCACGCAGGTCGCGAGGGACTTCGCCAATAGCAAGACCAGTGGCCGAGCCGTTCTTGCGCTGCTGCTTCTTGCGCTGAGCCTGCAGCTTGGCCGTCTTGTCCTCGATGCGCTCGCGGAGGCCGGTGTCCCAGAACTTGGCAATGTCGTAGGGGACGATCTGGACGGGGTATGTGGGGTGGACTTCCCAGTCGCTCGGGAGGGGAGGCTGGGCGTTGGGGACGCCGACGAGACGGTCTGCAAAGATGGATAGGGCGGTTAGTAGAGGACGGAGACGCTAGGGCGGAGAATGTGGTGATGTCATCTGGAGCAGATAGGCAAGAAAGGGGGTCGACCGACCATTCTCCCATCTCCGACGCTGCCGACTACCCTCATTACCCTTCAGCAACTGTTCTCGCTTCTTCTGGCTGTCCCTTCGGCTCAGAGGCCTGCGGATGGGCGGCTGCTGGACGGCGGCCGCGTCGGTGGCGATAGTCACCGATGTCTTCTTGACCTGCTCGTCGATGTTGATGGCGAGGGGTGTCCCCGTGCCGCGAGCGATCGGGCTGACGCTGAGGGACTCCAGCGCCGAGATTGTCCACGCTTCGATATCGATTGCGGTCGTTGATGTCTGCGAGGGATCGAGAGGGGCAGGAGGGGTCTGTGTCGGTGGCGGGGGAATCGGCTCGATCACGGGGGCGGCGGCGACGGCGGCCGAAGCGTCGAAGTCTTCAGGGGGAGGGACGGCACCGTAGATAGCCATGCTGGGCGAGACTTGTGTTGGAACGGGGTCGCGTGCGCGTTTGAGGTGCGGTCGAACCTCGATGGACGGTCGTCGTTGAGGTAAGGTAGGGTTCAGGGCTGCCGATAAGGGGCGATAAGGGCGGCGATCGCGGGGTGGAGGCGCAACTGATAACTGATGATAAGACGCGCGCGCGGTGGAGAGGCGAGTAGATGGGACGGACGAGAGCCCAATGCAGTCTAGATACTATCCGAACGAAGAGGAAATGGAGTTCTAAGATGAGGATACAATAGGAGACAGCTGGCGGGGTGTTGAAGGAGGAAGCGAGGTGAGGTGGAAATGGACGACGGGGGGTAGTTCGACGCGGACCGGGATCGTCTTAGCTCCGGGGTAAGAGGCATGACACATTCGACTCGTGAGCTTTGGCCAATCAGAACGCGAGCGCAAACCACGTCTTCGGCAGGTGATTCACGGGCCATTTGTTTCCTCACCCTGATTCACTTCGAGTCATCGCCAGTCATTACTGGACTCCTTTATTCGGATTAATACCAGCGAATAGTAAAAAAGAAGAAACATGGCCAAATGAAGTTATGATTCGGAAACTTTTCCATTTTGTTTTAGAACCGGGAGTGGATCTCTCACTAATTGCCTCAAGGGAGTCAGTCAGGTGAGCCGCTCACATCCTCATACATGCTGGTCCTCGTATTGTTGTCTTTCAGATTTGTAGGCCATAATGCCGATATCCAATTATAACAAAATCTTTCTGCATCCCCGTGACGGCAAAGGAGTCAGGCTGTTGTAGTTGAACGTAAATCAACCCAAGGCTTGAGGCTCCAGGGACAAAAGCCATCCACCAGCAAGGAGAAAGGAGAAACACGACATTCCCACCAAGTCAGGGTTCTGTCCGGGAATCTCGAGGCCATCACCCAGGCCCTGTTGAATGCATCATACCTGATCATTGAAACCTTGGCCGGTCAATTGTACTCGCAATACTATTGTTTGCTTATTCTTTCAAATACAACCATAGAAGAACTTGAGCGCAGATACGCAGAATGAAAACACCCATGAGGATGATTTAATCTTCTCGAAAGCATTTGAAATATAGATGCAGACGTAACAAACAGGTTGGTCCTGCTGAATGATCACATCATTCACCTGTATTTTCCTTCTCTGTGGTGTCTTTCATCAAGGGTATGTCTATACTACTTGTGCGTACTTATAATATGTCAGGCGCGGTGAACTTCAGTCTAGGAAAACTTTACGCGCTAATTTGTAATGGAGATAACTCATCAGATATCAGGCGCATTGCGAATGGTCTTGCTATACCGCTCCATCGTCTCGAACACCTCCTTCAAATCGCACGACAACCATCAGACAAGGCGTGTAACGTCAAATAATCGCGGGACGGAAGTGAAGGAAGATAGCATAGTCAAAGTGTCACTGCTGAATGCCGAGGTCCTTCTCCTTATTAGAAACTCTAAAGGACTCAAGGCCACATTTTGCAACTGTCGCGTAAAGGGAGGTGCTGCAACAAATTGGAGCATATTGCATTCTGTCCAGTATCACCCTAAATGCCTCAAGCATGCCAATTTATAGCAAGCTAGTGATGAAAGTTAGCAACACACTAGACCATCCTCACCTCACCGGCGCTGTGGAATTACGGACTCTTACAACGATTCACGTCTCGGCACAATGCGCGTTGATCGCCCCCAACGACATGCCGCCTAGTGTAAAGGTGTTAAATAAGTACAGGTTATCTATGAAGCTCTTATTCGGTAGCGCAAATTCGCTTTCCCGAACTCGGTGGTGAGAGTATAGAACATCCATTCTGTGTGAGCTAGAGGCTGATAGGACAAATACACCGGTACTGTTGTTACGGAGTACCAGATGTCTGACGCTCACCGTTCGTCACCGAGTCCCGTTTATGCTCTAATGAATAATCTATGAGTGCCAGTCAGGGGCGGAGCTGCTCTTATCCCCCAAGAAGGCAGATTCAATTATGCTAAATCACCCGCTAGGCTTGACCATTGGACTCTTTAAGGATCCAAGTAGCGGGCATAGTCTTTTCAGATTCCACTATTGCCTGCTGCTAAGCCCTCAAACACTCCGTCCATCAAGGGGTCTTTTGTACAACCAAGCGGTTCAGAATGCGTCGTGGTATCTCTAAACCAACAGTCACATTCCCTTAAAAATCTCGTATGCATCCCCAGCCTACAGCGCATCCAACAAAATGTACTCGGCCCGAGTAACCTTGAGAATCGTCCATTTCAGAAATAATCGTCGAGTAGACTCGTCGAAGCCATCAGACACGCACATAGCTAAACAAAACGCATGATCTCTCAACCTTATCGCCATCAGTCGCTTCTGTCCGCAGCTTATTCATCAGGTGGTCAGAAATGCTTGGTCGCCGCCCGGCCAGCTTTAACAGCGTTGCTGGTGATTACCCAGGCAGCGTTGGACGACGCAGCATGGGCGATTCAGCCCAGAAAGCGATCCGGTATGGTCCTCTTCTTCATCGGTGTCTCAGCAAACCATGCCATCAGCTCAAATGCGCCAGCGACTTTTATACCCTACCTCAAGTCAAAGACATGGCCACCAAGCAGGTTCGCAAAGCGCCCACCTCAATAGAACAGACCACAAAAAGCACCACCCACCAGGGACCCTTCCCAGCGTTCCTTTCCCGCAAAACTCCAACGTTGCCCATCTCCTACCAGACCAACCCTGCCCATCTTCCCTCAACCCTCCCTCCCGAGGTCCTCTCACCAGCCAAACCTACGCCCAAACAATAAAGGGTCCACCAAGAGCACCCCTCCTCCTCCGCAAACTAACAGGAAAGACCAGATCGTGAACCCTCCCACCAAAAAACAAATTTCATCATTACCCCATCAAAACGTCACGAGCCTTCTCTGGTCCCGGCCGCGGTTGCGCATCGGCAATTTTTG